GTAATAAACTTATCAGATGGAAGGGAAAATATATCGATCTTGAATCTTCCATCTGAAAGTTTGCGAAGGGCGACCGAAGTTTGTACACTCTTCATACGGGCAGGCGAACTCTTTCTGCCAAACAGAAGAAATACGAAATGTGAAACAGGGCAAAAACTGATGCAGTTGAGAGAGCGAACGTCAAACAGAGAATGCGCCCTGTTGACAACCATGACAAGCCTTGCCGGCGCTTGATATTTCTGTGTATAAATAAAGATGGCTATTGTGTGCTCATAATAAAATATCATCTTGCAAAAAAAATGACAAAAATTAACTATATACGACCATGTGTGTTCATTTTTTAAATCAGGGAGGGTTAAACGTTAGATACTAATTATGTTAATATTTATTATTCACACCTGCTGTTAGGCAGACCGTGCATAGTGCTTGAAAATATAAACGTAAAACTTGAAATATAGTCGTAATCATAGAAACATGATATCGAAACACGATATAGGCACGATCCGTAATATAAGTCGAATTCATTGTGGCATTGCGTGAAGTTGGCGCGATGACCTGAACACCAAGCCCCTTGACTAGGGATTGCTTTTCAAATTCCATCAAGTACAATACTACATAACCTATGTGAATAAAGAAAGTTAGCGTTATGTATAGTAAAATATATTTGAGTATGCATGTGTAGCCATGAAAACGACAGGAGCCTCAGTTAGGATTCAAATACGTACACTGCATAGAAGTCTTTTCGTAGATAACTGTCACATGATCAGTGATAAGCGGTTTTCCATTGTCACGTTCGAACAAATTGCTGTTTAATAATATCTATTACACTGTTCTTCTCATCTGGTACGTATATACACATTTTATTTGGTTGATGAAAATTCGAAAAGACACATAGTTTATGGCAACGCCAACATTGATTATCGCGATTTCAGCGGATCCTTGACCTCCATACGTTGCTTCATATAGCTCTCTGTTTCGAGTCTTATGTCCAGTATCGCCGTTTGGCACATCACCAAATGGTGGCTCCCGAAACTAAACGAGGTTAGCAACCAACTACGTTACCCATTCAGCTATCATCAAGGTGATAAACTTATGTCTACATTCGTAGAATCCACTTTTTTTTGCTCTCCCACGATATAAAGCATTTTTCAAAAACAAAATCCAGCGATAAGTCCTATATGAACAGCGATATTTTTGCGAGGAGGTGACAAAGTTAGGGTAGCCTTGTGCCGTGCGCTGTACACGTGTAAGAGACTCAAAACATCATTGAGATTATTTAGTTGCAACTTCAAAAAAACGAAGTCTTCTATGCAGTGAGCTGGGATCTAATGTACTTTAAGGTAAAATAATTTAAAGCTGGTAGCGACTGAAGGAAGATGGGTATTACTGATAGCAGATACCTCTGCTATTGTTTTTTTGCAGCTCTCCGTGACTTTCACCATTGAGCGAAAGAAGTGGTCTAATGTAGGGAGATTGTTTACGTAGGCGAGGGGCAATCCCGCAAGAGGCAGCGCGTCTTAAAAGGCGCTCTCCCCTCCTTTCCTAGAGTTCATTATCTCTGTCTTTGTCAAACTCAAGGTTAAGTCGAGCATTACGGACATTATGTGCAGTCTAGCTGACGCTTGATGGATTGAGAAAACCTGCTACCACAGTTAATTAGGTCATCAGCATAGGTTATTTTCATAAGGTTCCTGGGCCCTCGGGCCCTTGCTGATAGATCCCTCAAAAGTTTACGGAGCAATTGAAGGCTTAAGTTACACCCTTGCGCGAGTACGGCGGCTTGACGGAAGCGTGAAAGGTTATCAGTTTGTTTTTAAAGGATAACCATTATAATGGCTAAAGATTTTTGTGGGACCCTTTTTGTTGTCAAGAGTCTCAGAAAGACGCCGCTTGACGCCGAATCGAAGGTTCCCTTAAGCCTCGGCGAAGACGGCAAATAGTGGCAGCGCCGGCTGGTAGAGCTTTACACGCTATTTTGATTGACCGGTCACGTGAAAAGTTGTAGTGCTCCTTCGGAATGACGCTAGCGATTTCTAGAAATCGACTTAATCGTTTCATTACTAGGGAGGTTAGCAGTTTGTAGTACATACTTTTCTAATAACTACAGCAAGACGTTGGCAACAGGTTAGAGCTTCTTTTAGCTTGAGAGATGATTAGAAGCACGGCGGCTGGTCACTGGGCGTTTAGGGCGCCTTTTCAAAGGCACTCGTTAAACAGCGCCATCTAGCAAGGGGGTAAATCCATTCTTCAGGTGCTCGTTCCTTATTTGATTTGGACTTTGTACTTTATCAGGATAAACCTCCAAGAGCTTGTACATAAATGACCCTGGACAATGTTCGTCATTGAAATGTCAGGCTGATCGGGCACGAAGTCGCGGTCCATCGGGAAAGCTATTTGTATGGCCATCGCTCAGCTCCTCAAACCAAGTTTATTTCTTGCTGTTTGAAATGACTCCATCGTTTCAAGGCGTAGTTCTTCCTTCCAGGCAGTCTTCAGGTGGGATACGGAAAATTTCATTCTGGAATATAACCCCGCAATGAGCTTGCATTCATTCTAGGTTCCCCTAAGAAGGCAAAAGAGTGCATTAAAACATGCGCGGTTATGATTTCTAGCACGATAAAATTGAATGAACCGTTATAGGACACCAATCAGTTGCCACGCGTAGTTTTCGAAGCTAATGGAATCCGCCTTAGGTAGCATTTCGTCAACAAGCTCATTCAGGATTTCTAGGTTCAAGCGTCGCAAGCGGGGCTTTTTCTCTTTGCGAAAATGAAGATGAGCAGCACCTTAATGCCAATGGCGACGAAGACGTTAGCACCGAATTAAGGCTCCGTTCTGAATTAATAAGTCTCACGGAGAAAGTTTAGCATACGCTTGCCGTAAAGCGTCAGTGATCGAGATTTCGTTGTAACCTACATAGGTCTGTATATGGAAGGTTTACAATTCAGCAGCAAAAATCGGTTAAGGTATGGCATAAGATTAGCCGTTGAGAACGATGGAAATTATGAGCTGTACAGCATGCAGTTCGTTTAGCAGTTCGTTGACAAAAATAGACATCGATTTGTTTTACGGCAAACGCATTTAAGCTACTCCTACTACAGACTCATTATCAGATCCATGCAGGACAACTACAAGTGGCTGAAGATCATCCACCTAGTAATTGACTTCACAACTGAAGTGTTCTGTAAACCTGCAAAACAGAATAGTTGTCCTACAGCTTGAATATGGTTGTGACTTACGTCTCAGTCAGCATAAACTGGTTTGTCTTCAAGTGTTCAAGGTGTGAAAAGCAACAGCGCTTCCGTGCTCTTAGAACTTCACTGAGCGAATTTTAGTGTATCGAGGATTTCTGGCTTTATTGGATGCGTGCTTCGAGATAATATGGACAATGGATATAACACAATAGTGCAAGCATTGGCACGAACTTTACATGACAATTTGACAGAGCAAACATTGAATCAGAAAGCATCATCGATTTTTTTATGCAATAACTCTAAAATGTATTTGTAAAATAATTGTCGTAGTTCTTACCGATTACTCATATGTATATATAGGTCTTTTTTGTTTTGAGAACCACCGAATGGGGCGTTGTTTGCTATTTTTGATAGCGCGTATATATTTTTATACCATATGAGAAGTCAAATGCTTGTCAACTAAAAAGATTGAGCTTAGACTCAAAAAATAAATGATAGCTTGACTGAGCAAAATTAGGGCCTATAGTGAGAGGAATGATTTAAACTCTCGGATAAGAGCCATTACTTTTTTTTTATAGGGCTACAAGATGAGTGTAGTTATTCGTTGCATCATTTTTTCATTCATTGGGATGCCTTGTAATTAAGGTTTATTTCCAACTGACCGCGTTTTTTACAATCCTGTATGCGACGACCATCCTCAGATCACACCATTATTCTCACAAGCTTACTTAACTCGGATTACAAAATTCTAATCGCTCCAGACTCACTTCACCGAATTCTTAAAAAAACTAATTATATCCCAATGCACACTAGTCCAAACGGCGGTAGTTTGGCTCATGAGGTACCCAAACATCAGAGTTTAAGATGTTTCTTTAAATAGAAGCGGTTACAAAACATTCTTAAGAATAATGGACGATGTCATTCTATCGTTAATATAGATTTCCCTACGCAAGCATCAGTTTGGCTTATCTTGGAATTTGTTCCTGATCATTCTAGTCGTTTCCGATTGTAAAGCTCAAGGTATCGCTTCTTGAGAGGACCACTCTACTTATTCACTGTGCGTTCGACAACTTCCAAATCTAACACATACAACATAAGTTAATGATCAATTCAAACTTTTTCACTTCATTAAATAAGAAAACATTATATCCCAAAAATAATCGCCTTCTTTATTTCCTTCCGAACACGATTCTGCAGTTCGGATTCGAGCAAATTCAGCGTCCACGGGTGTCATTTCGGCAATTACTTTAGGTGTATCCAAACTACATAAAACCTTCTGGCCGTGAACTCAATGAAAAAAAAATTCTGAAAGACAGAAGTTAGAGGAAATACATGAAACTAAAGTTTGGAATGATCAATATAGTTGAGATAAAAAAAAAACAAGAAACAAACAAAAGCAAAAAAACATAGCTCTTATTGCTTTAGCAAAACTACTTAAATTTAGATTTTCGATAGAAACAAGTACTATATGATAGATGTTTTGTTCGTGCATATTTGCAGATTTTGTTCTTCTTGGTATTGCTAAAAAGGTTGTAGGGACACAGGTTGGTATGCAGAAAAGAAAGGGAAACAGATACTGAATGTATGTCTAATTCTCATATCAAATGGGTACATTCAAATACCAATGGACTCGCTAGATACATCCTAAGAATTATTACCGTGTGTGTTAACAAGCTAAATCAAGCAGTGCGTTCTTCAGTATCTTACTCCTAAGTTGGTAGGTAGTCATCCATGGGTGTTACGCATGTCAGTTCTCTTTTATTACGTATTCTATTAAATAAGCTAGGCAGTCATCACACGAATAGGTAGTCAAAACGACAGAACTTTATAAATCAACGTGATATTTATTTAGGGTTGTTTACGTGAAAATATAAATTTTAACTTTCAATACAAATTTCTAATACTGTCTTGTTTGCAGTACGTTTTTTATTCATCTTGAAGCTTAAGTAATGTAGGTTTACGATGTAATGGAATACCTTACTAATGAAATTTTCCTCATTGCCTATAACAAGAGGTAGCGTTGCATTCAAATTGACCTCTTGTTTTTTAGGTTCATATCATTTACCCGGTGTTCAATTATATCAGCCACTCAGATATTTCCCAAAACAGGCGTGACCGAAATTTTCATTAGCTAGAGTAATGTCTCTTCAGCTATTCATTAGGAGGGATGGTCGGGTCGATACCAGCCAACTTCGACTGTACCGCGACTTCACATAGATAGTCAAGGCATTCCGCTTGTGTCTTTGCTCGCTGCCAGGTTTCTCCCCATATATATGCTCCATGTCGGCGAACAAGTACAGCCGGCGTTTGAGGATGTTGGCGCATCGCCTCAGCCATCGATTGTTCAAGATCTTTCTCAAAGCAGGTGTTCTCGATGATAGGAATCACCAAACGCTCATCGTAACGGTAAGCTGTCGACGTCCCATCCTTACGAAGTCCCTATCGAGAAAAATGAAACACTTGTGGATTTTAGATTACATATGCTAACAGTCAAAAATGATTTTAGAAAATATTTTAGCTTCATACGTTTGTCCATTTTTTTGCTTAATTTTTTGCGTGTTACATTAAATGTTACATCAAAAATAGCACATATATATTTGTTGAAAGTATGCTTTGATCTCTTCGATACTCCAAGCCCATTCGAAACAATGGCCAAGCTAACGGTACTTATTAATTATTATTATTTATGAACTCATTGTGTTTACCTTTATCATTTCAAAATGAGTTACAACAAACTCCTTTCCTGGGTATAAAAGTGTGGCCATAACGGTATGTTTCGAGTGCGAATGGATTACTGCGCCTGCGTTACGCATACGATACGCATTCATGAAGAGGGGCCCACATTCAGACTGTTTTAGCCCCTTCGGTGCATATAGAACGTCGCCTAAAAAGGGTAGCATTTTCAAACAAAGATGCATGTTACGTTATACTAATTTGACATTCTGCACGGCTCCTTGCTCAAAGTATGAATGCTCTAGAATACGTGCTCCAGTCTGGCTGGACTAAATTGAGTGTTACAGTATCCTCTAAAAAGCATGGACTAAGAAGCATTGATTAATATGCATAGCTAATTATTACAAAATCGTTCGGACATCTTGAACTTGAAGCATCAACTAAATCAGGATTACACACACATGCACCCTAATGTTCTTTTTTACATACGATACATGAAACGATAGAATATTACCTGAACGCATATTCGACACGAATATGTCTTCAGTTTGTACCCGTTCCTTTTGAACACCTGACGGCGCCATATAGACAATATCTCTAAAATAAACCCGTAACATAAAATTTAAGTTTCTATTTAATTGTTGCATTTAGTACATATAATGCCGTAAGCTAAACATCACTGCTTAGCTCATAATCACGTTCAATGATACTTCAGGCCAAAATCCGAATCAAGTAAATGCAACCTTCCACTGCCTTTCTACTGCAGCTTAAAATATTGTGTCCTACTTTGTTACTCTGCCCCGTGCAACATATCTGCTATAAGTTCCAACAGAACGTAATTCTGCTTAACGCTCGAATTTGTTTAGTTCTATTCAACTTGGTCATTTTCGTAATTTTTGATGAGTTAAAACCATAAAAATGAAAACAAGCGGTAAATCAGAAAAAATATATGGGGTTATCTTTGGCCTATCATTATTATCTTTTTTCTGTATAAAAGGTACATGTAGTGCAGTCTGCAGATCGTAGCGAGCAGCTTTTACTATAGAATGGCCCGCTACGAGTTATTTGTTCCGTTTTAACGTCGTTAAGATGTTTCAGCACATATCGATGCGCAATCGTCAGGTCGATTCATTACTCAAATTTGTAACGAAATAGGTATTTTGTAAGGGGAATATTAACAGAGGAAGTATTGGAAGTTATATAATATTATGCAGGTGCTGCGGTAGTTTACGTCGTAATCATTTTGCTGTGCTGTGCCGGAATACGCACCCCTGCCGAAGAGAAATACCGCCTCCTGTGCCTGTGACCCATCCAAGATGATAAAATTGTCTGCACAGCTCAGGAATCAATTCACGTGGGTCTTCGCTAAACTGAAATCGAGACAATTGGTGGACGCTAACTCCTTGATAATTGAAGTCTTATAGTTTTTGTTCTAATTAATCTAATACAGCGCAAATATCATTGCACTCGCTACGCGTTTATTCACAATTCTAAGCAGCTCTTCACAGCCTCTACCGCCAGTTGGTCATTCATGGAGGTATTGAAGCTTGTCACAAGCCAAAAATCAGTCGTTGTTTTGTCCGTCTAGGCGCTTATATATGCAATTTACGATTAAAGTCCCGACGATCACACTACTGCATGAGCTTAACGCGAGCTTTCCTAAATCCATATGTGGTGTAGCTTGGCGACTATTATATTGCCCATGTTCTCTGCGCTGGCGATTAACGACCCAATAATTCAACTTTTATATTTAGGATTCTTTCAATTCACTAATTAGAAATACCCACTAAGTGTTACTTTTTATGTCCTCAATAGCTTAACCGTGAAATATACTTATAAGGACAATTTTCAAACACAACTTCAGTGTTTCACTTCTATGATCTAATGCGCGTCTACAGTGAGATTATAACTTCTACAGAACCAGAAATACCATAACCAAAATAATACAAAACTCAAAACATTTATTAGAGAACATGGGAACTTAGTGAAATACATATCTTTCAACTATCCAGAAACTTGTTTCTCTAAGTTCCCTTGTCTAAAGCGAGGAGCCGTTAAAACTTTTAAGAAACTATCTATAATTTTTTCTAATTTTGACCTAATAAATGTGTTGAGTTTTTGTGCTAATCTGGTCATGATATTTCTGATTCTGTAGAAGTTATAATTTCACAGTAATCGGTTATATTGTATATATATACTGGTTACAATTCAAATATAGCGTATTTTATTGCCTACTGCAGCTGATATGAATGTATTAACAATACTTGACTAACTGAGGTAATAATAAATGTTGCTGTAGACCTTTTCTTATCATAACAAGCTATTAACAAGGTAACCAGAACCTGGGTTTCTAGTTGTTTTCCGATACAAACCTCTTTCGGCGGTGTATCTGCCATCTCGATCACTATTTGTCTACACAAATCAATTGAAAACAGAAAAGTTTTTGCCAAGCCAATCGTTTGAACGGATTGTAACACTAAACTGGACCTAATTAGGTTTTATCTTTCCGACCTTGAACCAAGTCGACTGCTCTTGAGATAACTCGAAACACGACGGCGAATCGGTGGGCGCTACCTAATAATATAGCGAGCCCTAAAAAAGACTAAGCAAAATAAAATGAGAACGTTTAAAGACTATTAAAAAAAAAAAAAAAAGCTTACTTGGACCAAAAACTGTCTAAGTACGGTACGATTATTAGAATCCTACCTTAAATCGCATGTGTGCGCGTGAATGCGCGATACACCCGAAATATATAGATGTCCTACAAATATCTAGTGCCGGTAAAAAGGCACCATTTGTTTGCTATTGCGGTACATTTCTATTTCTCAAACCATTGCAAATTTTGTTTGAACTATGACAATATTTTATTTTTTGATTAACATGACTGTATTTATTATTTCCTTAGGTCGTTACAAATTAGATCTGAAAAGAAAAAAGCAGAGCTATAACGCACTCTGTTTCAAAATAGTCCCTTTTTTTTGCCCTCTGGGGCGCTGGCTTTATGGTAGAAACGTACCAGGCGCTGTGAGATACTTTTAAAATTCGGAGCTGTACTTTAGGCAGTGTTACATTGACTCATAGCATCGAAGTATCTGTCGTTGCTATGAAAGTATCGTTTTTTCTTAGCGTGAGTCTCTATTAATAGAGACACCTAGAAACGATAATGCCTAACAGGCTGGTTAGATAACGTAAACTACGGAAGACACATACTTTGCACCATCGTCCGACGCATTAGCACAGACTAGCTCTCGGATCCTCCAAAGCTTCTACGTTTTGCTTCTTCAAAGGTGTCTGCTAGCGACTTTTTGTTTTGTTCTTTCGATGTTCTGGGTGTGTTGCCGAGAGTATGAGCGCATCGAGGGGAGCCATGACTGAAGGTGTTCTATGTTGAGTTGTTGATGAAGTGAAGTGATTAAAAACCGTCCCCATTATGGCAGATCCGTTAAGTTTACTGCGTCAGTATAATGTGAGCAACAAGCCAATTCACGAGGAGGACGACAAAATCATCTTCGGAGAATACGCGTGGCCGAAAAATGTTAAAACTAACTACGTCGTATACGGGTAAATTGTTGTGGAGGTGATAGAGCTCTACGAATATAAAACATATTTGTGATATTTGATTGTTCAATGTTAAAGTGGCAGAAAGGTATGGAAACGCTGGTTCGAGAGGTATTTACCAAATACGCACCATAGTCCAGTCGCTAAAATCTAACAGCGATTTCAGGCTGGTTAATTGTTTGTCTAAGTGTTCAGTGTATATGTTGATTACACCATATTTACGTATATCGTGTATCGTCTACAATGTTCAATATAATTCCTGTTGTAGTGTTAATAGCCATAGTCAATAGCCTTCAGTGTTATTAAGCCTATAGCAATTAAATGGATTGAAAAAGATAGGCCAGTAGACGTTTTAAGATTATGTTTGCTATACGGGATGCTTATGGTCGACATCAGAATCTAACTTTGTTGTCGACCATTTCGCTGACGGACGGAGCATACCGGCTGTGTTTTTGAGAGCTTCATGATTATGTATATTTGTGTATATATTAAATGTTTTAGTAGTAAAAAAACTTTGCTTTTCTACGGGGATATAGATGCTGCTGTGAGCGGCAAATATGCATTCGTCAGATATTGTCTTGTTTATTATTTTTTGCTATCGAAATGCTTGCAACTCAAATGTGTACTTTGCCCTTGACTGGCAAAAGGCAATCTCAATCGTTTGATGTTGCTTGACCCTCGATGTGATGCTTTCTTACAGAACGGCTAAAGATGGCGCGAAGGAATATTACACCCTGGACACTCTGCTACATTTTTTAAAAAATGTTACGTTGAATCACGCGAATTACGTACGGCAAACTGCGGTAAGTGAACGTAAGACAATGTTGATGATAGAAACTACTGTGACATTTTCTAAGTGAATACTGATAACGCAAGCGTGTCCTAGCTGCTTTTTTTAACTTAAGTCTTTTAAGGCGTGTCACTCATAGCTGCTAAGGTGTGTTATGGGCGTTTGTTATTTATATTATTTATTTAAATATGTTACTTAAAAGAGTTACGAGTGATGAGGATTTAAATTTGTGCATTCCATACTGTTAATGAATGTTCGCAGAACGCTGGTGTTAGTGTCGTACGTCGACCGGACCGAAAAGACATTTTGCAGTACCTCAATGGAGAAACGCAAATCTCGGCCAATATCGACAAATCAGCGCCTCCGGTCATACCGATCACTCTTAAAAGATCAGCTACCGATACCAGGTTGGTAAAATAGAATATCATTCTAACCAATTACAGGGTTATATTTGGAAAAAGGGGAGGGCAGCAGACGGCACTCGATAAATGCCATAGACATTTCTTTTGTTACAAAATTGTTTGTTCTAGTCATACTATATTCCTGTTATATATATATATATATAACAAGAATATATAAGAAAAACGGGTACAAATGTATTTCTGTTTGGTTGCTTTTAGAGGTCAAGATGGGGCCAAGCGACCACGTTTGGAAACTACTGAGGTTCAAAAAGCAAAAGAGCAATTTCAAGCTCGTCTGGATGCATCGAAAGAGGATGCAATCACAACCGAAAACATCTCATCGCTCTCGGATAAGCTTTCAGTCGAAAAAATCGCCGCCATCAAAGCTAAACGTCTGGCCAAAAAAAAAAATACCATTAAAATCGTGAGTAATCATGTCTCCCTTTCGGCTAAGTTCATGTAACATAATTTTTTAAACTGTTACGACATTTTAGTTACTTTTCTTCTTCTTCAAACTATACGCACATATGAGCATAGCAAGTACAAACGTTAACGGTAACAAAAATATAGTGCACAATTTAATATTGCTTGTTTAACTCTGGCATGTTTTATTTTTTGATTGGGTAGGGCGATGACGATCTCGAGCCTATTTCATCCGAGCTCCAGCACATGCTCGATTATGAGAAAGAACATACGACGGTGATCCTGTCGCGGGAACGTGTTTGGCGGAACCGAACGACGATTCTACAGGCAAATGGGAAGAACTTCGCTAAGACCATTTTTCCTATCCTGCAGTCGATCGCTGCTCGGGAACACGGAGGAGGACATCAGCCAACGAACAGACCACTGCTACCTCAGGCAACGCCGCAGAGCGTGGCGGCCGTGCGGCAAATTCCACCTCAACAAACGACGTACAGCAGATATGACCAAGAGCGATTCGAGAAAAGAAAAGGTAAGTTCATTCGATTATATAATATTACATTTCGGCGCTGCTTTTTGAGTTATTTGTGAGCTTCTTCACTGTATTCTTCTTTTTATTGTAAAATATGTGGTACATGTGCGTTTGATATATTATATTGATTATTTTCTTCGTAGTACTCTGGGGCTGAGGCAATGATTAATCTTACTAAGACACGTGATAAAATGTAGAAGTGATCGCTATTTTTTAATTTGAGAACGTGTCTTTGTCTTTAATTTTTTTGTGATTTCAGAAACGGAGGGATTTCAGATCGATACGATGGGTTCGTATCATGGAATGACCTTAAAATCTGTGACGGAGGGCTCACGTCCTCAGCGTCCCTCGATAACACCAGTCAGTGTATCGCCGAGAGTACCACCTGGTAGCCGCAATAGCGTAGGCGGGGGAGCCTCTCCGGGTGTACCGCAGAAACGGGTGTCTAGAACTCCGATAATAATTATACCTGCTGCCACCACCTCACTCATTACGATGTTCAACGCAAAGGACATCCTTGAGGATCTCAAGTGTGTAAAATACACTTTCCTTCCGTTTTACGATGACTTATACGACTTACGATGACAAAAATAATGTGCATTGAAAAAAAACGCTATGTTTAAAGACCCTAGTAATAATGAAAAATACCACCTTTCCTTATTGATATACATGCGATGTGGAAAACACTTTAACAAAATATGATACGAGTTCAGCAAAACAATGTAGCGATTTATTCTCTATTGCGTTTTTTTTTAATGTAGATTCGTCAGCTCGGATGAAAAACGTAAAGCAGGCGTCCGAAGAGAGCAGGCTGTCATTGTTCAACACAGAAGAATTGGGTCAACTCTTACACAGCCGTACAAGGTAAACGCATCTCGAGCGCGATGATTTAGTTAATTTTCAGTTTATTTAATCGTCTATACCGGGTAGGTATGAACAACTAAGGTACGAACCGTTGCCCTTACTACCGCAGTTGTTATGGAAAAGAGTTCGAAAATTAGCATCTGGTATATTTTCTGCAGGTTATCGATGACCCAAGACATCTACGTCCAGAAGATTGGGACCGTGTCGCAGCTGTCTTTGTGCAAGGCCCCACTTGGCAATTTAAAGGATGGCCGTGGGGTGGAAACCCCGTCGAAATCTTTGCACGTAGTACGTTTAGCCTGTCGTTCACCCTATCTAATGCGAATTCGATATGTTTATGTGAATAAATATACGGCTACCTACTCCAGCGAATCTAATATGTATCAAATCATCGCAAAACTTCATTTTGACCTATAGCTACCTACATCTTATTTAAATAGCAGACTACTAAGGTGTTTATCAGAAGCAGAGTTTCTGGATAGGTTCTATTTCACAGACTTGTTTTTTTTGTGTCTTTTACATTTGCCGCCAGTTTGTTGATTACCATTGCAGGGATCCTGTGTCTTTCAGCGGCTGGCTGTCCTAACTGCATCCTATATCTGTACTTAAAATGCACACATTTATGTATTTATTATTATTAATTGTGAGTGTTTCTTGTCTTATGTGATTTCAGTTCGAGCGTTTCACATGAAGTGGGACGAAGAGGCACTTGATACAAATGTTGAGAAATGGTCTGTGACTGTTATCCAACTTTCGAAGTACAAACGCCACCTTGATCGGGCCAATCTCCTTCATTTCTGGGAGATACTCGATAGGAATACACAAAGTGGACATCCGGCAGTCCGACGATAGAGCATACGCTTGTATATGAATAGTCTATATATATATATATATATATATATATATATATATATATATAGCAATAAACATATGAGAGGCTTGTTAATATTCAACTGGCTGCTATTTGAATCGATGCATCTAGCTTACACTCATAAGCAGTTGTAGTTAATCACGCTAAATAGTAAGAGAAAGATAAAAAAAAAGATACAATAATACCTAATAGCGAAGTTTTTCTGACAGCTTTTAAAACCACGTAGTACAGGCTTTTGTAGAGGGCAAAATGCTCATTGTCGCCTCGCTCAAGACAACTCGGTGGGCGAATGAGTGAAGTCGATAAGTTAAGGGTTGAAACCTTTGGCTTTTCAGTCACTGAATTCCTGAGAATTTATCGGATCACTATCTATAAATTCCCATTTATTTTCGCTGTCACATGCTGATGTTGCTCAACAATAAATGGTATGGTTATTCAATGTCACATATATTCTGGTTCGAATTTCTCTTTCTATCAGATAACACTTCTCGGAATTTTTTTAATTATCGTGCCTTTATTATACATTAGGCACTGACTCAATCATCGAAAGTTAAAATATATATATTGGCATAAATTTGGAATGTAATCATTAAACAACCAAATAATTAACGCATGCCTACTCTTTCAATCACATGAAATGAGGTATAAAAAAATAAGTTATTTTTTTAATAGCTTGGCAATGTAAATAGTGCGTAGTACATTTCGAAAACTTGTCGATGCCGTTGCTATCTGTTTCTTAATATGAACATAGAAACTGTCTTCTATATATTTTTAATGAAGTTTATGTCACGCAAACTTAGTTGTAATTGAATATTACAGGAGTAGATACAGATGAGTCCACTAAACAATCACGGGGTTGTATCAAGTCTAAGGATAAAAAAATATTAGTCTAGAGTGAATTCGGAGATTAAGGCCCTCTAAAGCTATTTACAATTTATGTTCGGTAAATGTTACAGGTTCTCCATTGTTTACATCGACCATAAGCCTTATGCTTATGCCTTATGTGCTGTATGCCAGTTGATTTCAAATCCATTTCGAAGTTTATGTAGAGTAAGCATCATCGGTTGTCATAATTTGCTTTTTTGGAGGTATCTTTTATAAGTCTTTTTGCATCTTTTATACAAGTTTATGCAAGTTTCATTGATGCGAACCGCGCAATAGATAATGCCAACTGCAACCACTGGAAGTGAATTTCTTTGCTAAGTACTTCACGCTAAAAAGATGGTTGTTCATGCTAAACGTGCAGTACAGATCGGTGTTTATTAAATGGTATAGCCATTTTTGTAGTTCAACTTGATAACACCTTATGAATCACATATTAGTATTTTTCACACTTTATCTTATCTAGCTCACTGTTACTAACACAACGTCTCTAACATCATATGCCAATAAAAAATTTTTATATACTAGCACTTTCTGAGTTTAGGCTTACAAACTGAAAAATTAAAGGCAATTACAAGTTTTCATTCTCACTTTCGTTCTACGATTCTCTTTAAAGCCCTTTCGTAATTTGTAAGTAGTTGAGCAAAAGCATGTTTTCTACAAAGCTGTTTAAAAGCCAAGTATATTGCTCATTCTGCATGCGCTGCTTAGCAAATATCTAGGTTATTACTATGCCTTTACGGTTGATGGACCTCGGGTTCGGGGCATTGTACATCCAACTCAATTGACGTCGAGGACAGGATGTTTATTTGGCGAGTCGACTGTAACATATTTCTACAGCCGTGCGAAATAAAACTTTTGACAGCAGCATCATTACCTTAGATCTGAGGACATGAACCATCCTAAGGTAATTTCGTTCTATTGAATCTAAAATCATTATCAGCAGTATTTTGAAACGTTCCAAATTCACCACTGTAATTCTGATGTGTGCACATGTGATCCAAGCACAAATTTATTTTTATGGCGGTGTTTTTCCTTGGTTGTTCTATTTAAGCCCAAAAAACGAATGCTACTGGTTCGTGTTTCGCTTTCTATAGCTTAGCAGTTCTTAACTTCGGCTCCACAGAATCTGTGCTTATCACCTTATATCTACCTTTACCTTCTCTCACTCTCTCGCTACATATATACTACTCAGCATACGTCATATATGTATATATATGGCGTATGCGGAATAAAAGAATTTTGAACTTTCTATTTTGAAATCAAAATAAAATCGTCGCGAGTGACCCGGATGCTTCATGCGCATTTTCCAGATGCGCAGTCTATGGTATGCTTTTTGCAAAATAAAACGAGAATCGTAAATCTACTTAAATACAAATGTCTTTTCTTTAAAGCTAAGTAGCTCTTAGTTGCAGTTAACACTCACTATGTAATTGAAATGCTCTCAGCGAAAACACTGTTAAAGTGTCGGGTTAAAGGTTATGTATTCTATTGTAATTATTATCAAATGTAGCATACATTTCGAGCAACAGGTGCGGTATTTCCAAAGTAATAGCTAGCCTTTAATCTTTTGATCATGCACCCTCAAGTTATACCGTAAATGATTTGCAGGTGGTTGCTATTGAACGCTAAGATAGTCTAACTCCTGAAAAAAATCGTACTTTCCTACTTAAACTCAAGTTATAGCAACATCTTTCTAGTTTTATCCTAGATATAAACAGAGCTTAGCCTCTATGCTTCGCATTTAGCATCCGATATTACCGCTAGTCATTTTATCAAACGGCTGCCTCCTCACACAAAACCTAATGTGTCTATGCAGGGTTCAAACATGGACCACATCGTGTTATCTAATACTACCACGCAAATACGTTAACCATGAACTTATCACGGGGTAGTTCTCTGTATCGAAGGCTTAAGGCTTCTATGGTTCGTCCCTCTGATTGTGTCGTCTGCTACTAAGGAGATGTTTTGTTAGTTTCACTCGCTCAGTTCCCTTGCGAGTAACGGAGTGCCATTTCGGATCCTGCAAAGGGTTTTGTTGCAAAGGGTGTTGAGTTGTTGATAAAGTAAACGTGAACAAACAACTGTAATTATAATGGCGGATCCATTAACTTTACTTCGGCAATATAACGTAAGCAACAAACTCATTCACGAGGAGGATGGCAAAATCATTTTTGGCGAATACGCTTGGCCAAAAAATGTTAAAACAAATTATGTCATATACGGGTAAGTTGTGTTTCATTTACAATGAAAAAAAAACTTGAGTGTCTCCATAGATTTAATAGTTCTGAATGGCAGGAATGGTAGAATATAACAGTAATTGACTCATAAGAAAATTGAACGTACGTAGAGATAGAAAAAATTGTTCAGATGACATAGAAGCGAATTCAAGAAAATTGTATGCACAAATTGGTTAAAATAAGCTGATGTAAGTTATTCACAAAATTCCGCTCTGTTAATCGCATTTAATAGCATCTTATTTGCTATATCGTTGTTATTCTTACTGATGTCTAATAATAGAGAGCAATTTGTCCTTTATCGGCCTTTTATTGTTTGGGGTCACAAGACGATATTATGTACGGTGATTTTTTGAAGATAGTACTGTTATAGGGTTTCGATAATGACCTGAACGACAAAAATTAATTTTAGCAATTTTATAATTAAAGTTTTCCTTCACATGAGAATCAGCAAGTCGTATGTAGACTGACTCCGTCGTTCATAGTACAACCATCGATGCTTGTTACCTTTTTGGTGTTATTACAGAACGGCTAAAGACGGCGCGAAGGAATACTACACTCTGGACACTTTACTACATTTTTTAAAGAATGTTTCATTAAATCACGCCAATTATGTGCGGCAAACTGCGGTAAGTGAATGTAACAATAATTATGTATTTAAATAATAGATTCCTTTGGTTTATCAGAGCGTTAAGACAGATGAAAACCTCTATTAAAACTCGACAAACATCTATATAAAGTGCTGTTATGTAGATTTCGAACATGGTACTTACCAGAGCAAAATGTATTCGTGTGTTACTTGTACAAACATAATACTGTTCATTTTTATACGTTGTAAAACGGAATATCTTGACTGGCTATATAAAGCTATTCATTTTTTCAAGGAAACCTGATCGCTATTGAGCTTCTACCTAGTGGCGCCTGCTTTGCGATAGATACGATCCTGCAGCATACCTGAACTCACATTCGCATTCTTTGCTTTATATCGATAAATTAGTTTTTCATGTTTTATCGTAGAATGCTGGTGTTAGCGTCGTGCGTCGGCCGGACCGAAAAGATATTCTGCAGTACCTCAATGGAGAAACTCAGACTTCGGCCAGTATCGACAAGTCAGCACCTCCAGTCGTACCGATCACTCTTAAAAGATCGGCTGATACTAGGTTGGTGAAATGAGAAAACATTCAGAATTAATAAACAAAATACTTTTGCTCAGGAAGAGTGACAAAGTAATGACTTTAATTTTAAATGTTTCGTTTTCACTAATAAGTAAATTAAATCATCACATAATGAATTACGCCTTGTATGAATATTTCGTCTTTAATTTTTATTCGTGTTGCATTATTCTCATTATTCTTAGCGTTGAATATCAATGTGGTTCTATTTGGTTGCTTTCAGAGGCCAAGATGGAACCAAACGTCCACGTATGGAAGCTACTGAAGTACAAAAAGCAAAAGAACAATTTCAAGCTCGTCTGGATGCATCCAAAGAGGATGCAATCACAACCGAGAACATCTCATCGCTGTCAGATAAACTTTCAGTCGAAAAAATTGCTGCTATTAAAGCTAAACGTTTGGCTAAAAAGAAAAATACAATTAAAATCGTGAGTAGGTATTTATTGTAAACGGGGTTTATCTTGTGTAGATTTTTTCGTTGACAATTTGTTACAAGGTGACCATTCTATCTATTGGTATAAAAACTTTGTTCGACTAAACGGTCATCAAGTTAAACCACACTATATTTTTGTATATAATTAGGTTGTTTTATACAACCTAATTATATACAAAAATATTAAAGATTAAGTATAGCAGCCAGTCTATAAGACTGGCTGCTATACTTAATCTTAACATGTTTCAACCATATTTTTTGCTTTAACAATGGCTACTGTATATTCTCTGACAATGTAGGGCGATGATGATCTCGAGCCAATTTCATCCGAGCTCCAGCACATGCTTGATTATGAGAAAGAGCATACGACGGTGATCTTATCTCGGGAACGGGTGTGGCGGAACCGAATTACGATTCTACAGGCAAATGGAAAAAACTTTGCCAAGACCATTTTCCCCATCCTGCAGTCGATCGCTGCTCGGGCACATGGAGGAGGACATCAGCCAACGAAAAGACCACTGTTGCCTCAGGCAACGCCGCAAAGCGTGACAGCTGTACGGCAAATTCCACCTCAACCAACAACCTACAGCAGATACGATCAGGAGCGATTTGAGAAAAGAAAAGGTAGGCCGATTCTGTTTATTTAGGCATATTTTATTGAAAAAAAAGTTGAAGACGTGAAAACTAACAAGTGGACCAATGTCCTCTCCCCCTTTGTTGAAGTTGGGAAATACATATGCTACCGATTTCTAGTAATCTTTCTTTCTTTAGATTTATTTATTTGGCCACAAAGTCATTATTTCTTCCTAATGGTGAGCTGAGGCAGTGATCAGTCCCACTAAAAACACTAATAGTTTTTTTAAAACCTCGCGTTTTTTTATATGTAACAAAGGTAATATTCGTACTGCAATAATTTAAATAAACGGATATTTATGCATAAGGCGTACCTTGAAGTTTTGGTAGTTAGGGACAACAGCTAATAGATTTAATGGTGTCAATGGTACCAACTAAAATATAGCAGAACATAAACGTAAACTATATGCAAGATTTGCACGCGCTGAAGAAGATCGTTTTTTGCTTCACGAAGTTTCAAAGTCCTTTTAAATAATTTTGGTTTTGCAACATGAATATGTTATGGAAGGTTGTTATACCTATGCACCGCGCTAATTAAACACATAAGTAATCTGATTTAACAGCATATGCATCATTTCGACTCTATTTTTCTTAGAACTTCGGGTCTGAAGCAATGATGAACCTTACTGAAGAGTACCCTAAAAAAGTGATCGTTATAATTGTTCTCGCTCAACGACTGGTTTTTTTTTATTTGTGTTTTCAGAAACGGAAGGATTCCAGATCGATACGATGGGATCGTATCACGGAATGACCCTGAAATCAGTGACAGAGGGGTCACGTCCTCAGCGTCCCTCGATGGCTCCGGTCAATTTATCGCCGAGAGCTCCACCTGGTAGCCGCAATAGCATCGGCGGAGGAGTCTCTCCTGGTGTACCCCAGAAACGGGTTTCTCGCACCCCCATAATCATTATTCCTGCTGCCACCACCTCCCTCATAACAATGTTCAACGCAAAGGACATCCTCGAGGATCTTAAGTGAGTGACACGTATTTCCCTAAGACTTGTTGTTATCGATTTAGTAAGCCTAATTAAAATTATTTATTTGTATATTCTGAAAGTTATACATCAGAAAACAGCAGAAAATAGTCATGAAATAGAAATGGTCATGCCGATAGAAAAACGGTTTAATGGTGTACTCTTTCTCACACAGATTCATCAGCTCAGATGAAAAACGTAAAGCCGGGGTTAGAAGAGAGCAGGCGGTCATTATTCAGCACAGGAGAGTCGGTTCAACGTTAACACAGCCATACAAGGTAAATGTGTCCTGGGACCGTCATTTATTAACTTATATGCTGTAAATACGAGCTGCCTGTTCAACTAAGTTGAAGTTCAGAGCATAAACAATGCCGTATTAATTTCAATCATGGGCTTCATACAGCGAAGAAAACTAGGAAATAAAAGCACCATAATGTTTTTTTCTCAGGTGATAGACGACCCGCGACACCTGCGACCAGAAGATTGGGACCGCGTCGCAGCTGTGTTTGTACAGGGCCCCACCTGGCAGTTCAAAGGATGGCCGTGGGGTGGAAATCCCGTTGAAATCTTTGCACGCAGTAAGTTTAGCCTGCCATTCTTTTGATCTTAAACGAATTCGTTGTGTTTAAAAAAAGTATATATCTGCTTATCTGCCCTAACGAGTCAAAGACACAAGTTTTTAGGAAATCGTGTCGAAACCTTCATGTGCAGTAAGTTTAGCCTACTGCATACAATAATGTTCAGTAGTTCATAGTTAATTTGCACTCAAGGTTCACGTTCATCCTTATGTTGACTTTGATATTAATTTCAACTAGTCTCTTTAGGCATCTGATTCATGGTCATTGGTTCTATGGTGTCTTGGTATTTATTTTTATGTTCTATCTGTTTCGACATTGAGCTCCTTAAGTAGCAATACATTTTTCTGTTGTAAAATTCTGCATTCGAATTTTTTTAGCAATAATTAGTTTTTAAGTGTTATGATACGTATCTTCACTGTCATCGTTAAAATGCAATGGTAAAGAATACGGCAAAAGACGAGGCAAAAAAAGTGCTTTTTAGTTACGAAGGCTGAAGAGATACTAGTGTTGTTTGTATTGGTCTTTCTATGGGTATATTTCGATTAAGTTTTTCGATTTAATAACCGCCTTAAGTACTTATCTTGTTATTAGCTAATATGTGTTCGTGGTATTCACCTCTTTTCTTATGAATTTCAGTTCGAGCGTTCCACATGAAATGGGATGAAGAGGCGCTGGACTCAAATGTCGAGAAATGGTCTGTGACCGTTATTCAGCTCTCGAAGTACAAACGTCACCTTGATCGGGCCAATCTCCTTCATTTCTGGGAGATACTCGGCAGAAATTCACAGGGTGGAAATCCAGCCCTTCGACGATAGTCTGCATATACATCTGCATATACACAGCATTCTGTAAATAAACATAGGTGCATAAATCAATAAATGCACATTGCATAATAAAAGTCGGCATTGTGCATACACATTGATCGAAATTTGTAAATATCCTAATTGCACTAGTGGCAAGCACCGGTAGCAATTCGCGATGATAGAAATTAATTTATCATTTGAATACATATATTAGTCGCTGGACACGCTTAGATCCGGTCGCACCAACATAAAATGTTCAATGATATCGTATGCTATATCTATGCCGATTCTAATCGTAGAATCTTTGTATGAATAACGTATGCCTTCCTTGGTTGTTATGAGTCAAATAAATGCTCTACCGAACCACACCACACCTACGCATTGCTGTTTCGATATAGTCTTGCGGTATTCCTGCAGCGGTTCAAGCCAGATTATCAGGCGTGTTTTGACCGTTAGCAAAGGTAACCGGTAACGTTTTGCGCGCGGAAAAGATCTATGACACCAAATACAAGCTTCATACGCTCATCCCTACTAACAATAAGGTGTCAACGAGGCGGGGGAAAAACAATATATTTGTTTGAAATTTTTAACTACAACATTTTGAATACATTTTGAATTAAGATTCAAAATGTTTTCTTATATTTTTCACCATGAATGCTTGCATGAAATAATTGTACAAAAATTATACTGTAATTTCACAAACATTAATAGTACTATCAATGTTTGTGAATCTACAAATTGCCAATCTGTATGTATATGATAGTACGTAATAAATATTTTAAATGGTTATTGTTTACGTATTCATTTGGTAGAACTTTTTAGGCTATTGCACGTAATTTTAGACCTCGCAGAAAGCCCAGGATACTACTATGCACGCCTACAAGTTAACTACATAAATTTTCATCCGTAACTTTCTGTATTTGCATAAAGAATTACATTTTAATTTTAAAATTGAGTATATTTGCGAATTACTGTAATGTATTGTTCACTACTTGTTGTTGTTCACTACATCGTACAAATTTCTTTTCAAAAAGAAGAAATCTTGAACAATGCAAACAACACGTTACCGTTTATTTACCATATACAAAGCAACATCAACCTATTTGGAAACAGAAACATCTCAGGTTCTAATTACAGAAGCACCACATATATACATTGCCATGTAATTCGCTTCTTAGTTAGACAGTGCAGTCATCTCTGGCTGAAAATTCCCGATTGCTACCTGTTCTAAGATGAACCGCGATGAGCGCCTTTTTTGAGTGACTTCCTTTGCAAGCCCTGGCCCCCATTAGCTAATCGTTGGACTATCTGATGCTGAACTCCTGCGTTCGTTTTGCGTTGAAATAGGCGCAAAGTAAGCTGTTCTGCCTGCTCGGCCCAGGCATCGATGAAGTGCTGAGGATCTACGTTCGTCTGGAACACTTCCGAACCCTCTTTGAACCACACCCGTAAAAGGGAATACTATTTTAGCGACTATATATTTATATATATTTTAGGTTTTAAGTTAATGCTAGGCCATTATAAACTGTTGGTTTGTATTCAGCGTAAACAGTATTTTCTAATTTAAACTGTTATATAAATTATACGAGATCGTTAGGCTGCTTACCGTTTAAGCGCTCGTCTCCCGGCAGAAAAAAGAAACTTTTTAGGGTTCCACTCTTTAACGGTTGTACACAATCATCATTTGCTCTGTAACGCATTTCTTCCCAACTTTTCTGGTGAACTTTACGTTTGTCTTCAATTCGCCGCCAGTAATCATCTCCAAACCGTTCCTCGGTGTGGCTTTCGTTACGCGAATCTCGTCGCATTCGTCTTGGAAAATTATCATTTTCATTGTCATCGTCGGATGAAGACATCTCCTCGACTGCAATTCGAATCGACCCATAATTAAACAAATTTTCATTGATTTACTATTAACTCAGTCTACCCTTTGCTTTGTTAATGTCATTTATACAGTATATGTTGATAAATCCTTTCTCATAACCCAATAATCAATAATTGTCTTTTGACATTTCCAATATAGTTTAATTAAATAGCACCAATGAACTAGCGCTGAAATGTACCTTTAAGCTGATCAGCAAAGAGTGATGAAAGCGTGAACCCCTGATTTTCTTTTTGATCAAAAAGCTTTTTGAGGTTGTCTTCAGAAATTGGATCATCTTCACGTTCCCAATTGGCTGGATATGTGCCCTCACTACTTTTGCCGTCTTCGTCTAGATTAGGCATCTCGTCATCATCCTGTTTACCGATATCGTCCGCAGCGTCAATCTCTTCGAAAAGATCGTCCCTTCGCGACTCGAACGTGTCCGTCTTGTCACCCTTAACGTCGTCTTTTAGTGAATGACTTTCCAGTCTTCTACTATCTCTTTGCCCGTTGAACCGTTGATTGCTTCGTTGCTGCCTATTTAAGCTACTATCCCAGTTCATTTGAGCAGTAGATGTGCCACCAAATTCCTGTCTTTCCCAAGTCTGACGTTCGCGTCCCTCACTCTTTTTTTGGCGGACATCTTCTCTATTGTTTACCTTCCGATGTATGTTCCTCTCGTCGCTATCGTGGTTATCTGATTTTTTGCCTTTCCAATATTTTCGCTTTATTTTCCAATTTTGGTTATGTCGATCATGTTCCTGGGAAAATTTGCGCGTTTTGTGACATGAATGATGGCCGTCGAATCCTTGGTCATTGCCAGAACCTCTCTTTTTATCATTAGGGTGCTCATTCGTTTTGTCAACTTCCATATAATGATCTTCAGACTCATATTCACCACAGTTCTTTTGAGAGGTTTGGCTCTCTGCCTCAGGTTTGTAATCGGTTTTTTCGTTTCGGTATTGCCCAAAAGAACCATACGATGATGCACCTTTGGTGAATGTTTCTGTCTGAATTTTTCTTTCGAAAATCTCTTTTTGAGTTTTTTGCAGGTAACTCTCTTTAGCTGGTTGCACTTTTAGACATCCTCCTTTCCATTCTAAATTATTACATTGGTGTACACCTAGAAAACGTAACGTATCATCATCAGAGATCTCGCCGATTTCATCTATCCAGGTTTCGAATCGTAAATGTAATTAATAGAATCATAGCAAGCATTAACTGTTATACCGCAACTTTGGATAATTCATTTCAGGTATTGCCTCATTCCCTTTATTATAAAAACAGCAGTCATAATACGCATCTCTAAATTATATCTCACGTAAATTTTGAACAAAAGACATTACAATGCTACACGCTGCATTCTTTACCATGAGAATTACTGAGATGCCGCCAGAACACGATTATTTCTTACAGATGGTTATCTGTTTGCAAGAAATAACCGTTACACTGCGTTTGTTGTAGATCACAAGCTTTAAAAAAGTTTTAGGGTGAACTGTCTGAAGCCTTTATATCAAGATAATCAAAAAAAAATGAAGAAACGTAGTTTTGCCATACACTCAGAAAGCTACAATAAAATTGGAACTAGTGATAATTACATTAATATATAATATAAAAGATACAAAGATACATACGCTCCTACAATAAACAAATGAAAATTCATTTTTATTTTATTTAACCTTACGTGTCATCAGCTAGCGAGGATAAACGGTAGTTATTAATATAGGTATTGTACTCACAGTTGTCAATGGACTTAGAATCTGCTTCAATATCAATATACGCAAAATATCGCCGATTTCCATAGTTTTCTTTACAGCGGATCTCAACGCTTTTTACACTGCCAAATTCGCCAAATTTGGCCTTGATATCATTTTCCAGAGTCGATTCCGAAATTCCTCCAATATACAAGCGACGCGTATCCATTTTATACTAGTTATTTTATACTACTTTCACGTACTGTCTTGTCTTCGAGTAAAAATTTACTTCAGTACTTTTCCTATTGTGTTAGTGTTATGGCATAAGTATAACAAGCACTAGCCGCGCGCGTCAAACAACTTTACTTGGCTTATTCACACGATTATTGCATGTACATATTCTATCAAGCACAAGTTGCATAATGCAAGTTTCGTAACACCAATTAGCAACTGCTCCGTTACTGTTATGTTTTTCAGACCTGAAAATTATAACGCATTATGATTCCTTTGTACGACCAAAGGACATGTTTGTCGAGAGATTTTTTAGGTCTTCCGGCACGTGCGCTGTGAGGATCTAATGCGTACAGCCTCGTTTTGTAAACATTACCTTCTATGAATGAGTTTGAATGAGACTAGGAATTATTTTTAGTCTCACTTAAAAGAGTCTTAATGTTGTGGAAGGACAAAACATTGTTTTGCAACTGACGAAAGTGGTTCCTAAGTTTGTATCATACGCAAACAATTACAATAGCAAATAATCTCAACGTAACAAAAAAAGGTAAAGCTACATTTTCTGCAGTTGAAAGATCTCCTCTTTCAATTCATCTGTTCACTTAGTTTGTAAACAAATTTTCGCGCTCAAATTCGAATAAGTGTGAGTTTAGCAGACTACTACCATATTAAGTTGGTCTTCCCAGAGCTCTTCTATAGCTCGTGATGGACTAACGTAGGAAATTAACATATCAATATATCAGAGAATAAATTCAGTGCAAGTCTAAAGCGTAGTAATATATTCTATTCTATTAGTCTGCCATGACTCTTTCCTAGCAGCGGTCAATTTGAGAGAAACAGTTTCGAAGGGAGGCACCTGCGCTAACGCGATTATGGAAAAGTTCCTTGCAAAATTTTTTGGCATTCATCAGAAACAACGTTACGCATGTGAAACTTAGGTTCTTAGGTCGTGTGAAAGAAAAAGTGGAAAGATTCTAGACAATTTCCTAATAAATATTAAAAAACCTTCATTAAATATTTATTTTCCTTCTTAGAGTTGACAACATATCTGATCAAAAAATATTTTTATACGACCTACATAAAGCCAGGAACTTCCCTTAATAAAAACAGTGCACTAAATATTGAGCAGTATATTCTGGACTGCCAATCTATTTTTAATTTTTAACCAGTCTACTTCATTCTAAAATATGTATATAATAATTGATTAGTATTCGTATTTTTCTATAATTATATTTACCCTTTTCTGGATTTTTGTATTTCCCATTATACTTCACCGTTCGGTCCACTTTTGTTGTTCTGAGAAAATTAACTATTAGGAATGTTTCATATTCATACATTACCTTATTTGGTATGTGTGTAATGTCGGCATCTCTTTTTTCCTCTTTTATTTTTAATTAAGCTGTAAAGAAGCTGTATTCACTTTTTTAGCATTGCTCTTTTAAGCAGCGACTAAATTTCACTTTGGTTTAAATTTTTTTTTGTGTTACCCTATAATCTTAATTGATCCATAACAAATTTATTTAGCCCCGGTTAAAAGTGGATAGCTACCGCTTTAAGCTCGCGAGTTCTTGGAACGCATTTACCTCTCACAGCAAATTCCTTTATGAATCAAGTGCTCACGTACAAGAATAATAACATTGATTTGTGTGTTCTACTACTACAAACGTGATTATTATAATCAAAATTGAATAAATAAAATTTGATTTGATTATTACAGATATCGCAGGGAACACCATACGTCGCTGAAATGAAATCGAAAGCCAGCACGGTATCTATCTTGTGAATTAAAGCAATGATTAATCGACACCAAAGCTTTTTATGCAGCGAAAGATCAAGGCTGCCTAAGGAAGGAGGCCAAATGTTTCTCGTTTTATGTTCAGTATTGCACTAAGTCTTGCTTCAGCAGCTAGCCCCCGGCACGAGATAAAGTGTGTTCACTTTTTTCTCATTTCATTTCTTTTTTTTTTTCTTATTTCAAACTTTTTATTCTTTATAATGTTAGTGCTTAACCAGGTTTCACGCTAAAGGTATTTGTCTAGTATCCTATGTCTTGTACCCAAATTCCTGCCCAGAATAAGCAAAAGCTTGGCCCTACGATTTTTGGTAACTTTTTCATTTGAGCGTTTGGTTTCCCTCGAAAATTCTTCTTGCGATTCTCTATACTCCTGCCGAACTCGTCATTTTTTCAATAATGCTTTTAATCGACGGTGTTCTCAACGGCGTCTCCGTGTGCTTTACTGGTTTCTCGCAGAGTCACTACGGCGCGGGAGGGTTTGATATACTCCGCCTGACTCCTTAGCAGTTCACAGGATGTAGAGGTCTACTTTTTCTAGCCTTGTATGTATGGAGCTACCTGTTATCGGCCAGCACCGAGTCATACGATAGAGCACCTTTTCGTTAGATAGCCGTGTCTAACTGACCTTATCTGAAACGAAAAAATCAGTCCAAAAGCTAAACAGTTCCTGGTGGCTGTCCTTAGGCCATTCAGTCTATTACTTTTGCAGAGCGCCTTTTGCCATAGTAAATTCGTCATTAAGTACGCATTTTGTTGTTTTATTCGTTTGCAGATTCCACGGTATTATTTCGAATAGCATTAAAGCAGTCTCTCTTAGTACAGACTTGTACATCTGAGCCGTACTGATGGCTCTTTTCCACTCAACTGACCTGAAACTGTATTAGCTCTACTGCCGAAGGCTATATCAGCCCGGAGCGACGACCCGTAGAGTGCAATCGACTTTGATCGACGTCAGAAAGGCATGTCTTCTTCTTCTATATGTTTTTTTTTTACTCCCTGAATAGATGATGTACTGATATGGTTAACTGCCTGTTCCGCTGTGAGTCCGGTGTACAATATGATTCCCATTTATTCCGCCGTTTTCCGGATATCTATCCTCGCTATCCCAAGAGTAAGTTCAAGATTGTTACATTTCTCTCTGCCTGTGAGATAATGGAATGCTGTGTTCTTTTCCGGAGTAGCTAGATATAGCACTCTTTCGTTCAAGCGTATGTCCAGACTAAGTGCCCTATTGCGTTTTCTTTCAAGTTCACTTTCTCCTCTCGCGGAATTTAGGAGAATCAGGCGATATAATCAACACTGACCGAAGAGTCAGGGGTTTCAGGACATCGTCATATACTAGGTTTCAGAAAATCAAGCCTATCACGGAGCTCTGGGGAGCTATGGCCTGGCTTGCAGTGCCCTCTCGTTCCAACATGGCGAAATAGTCCTTTAAAAGTGCGGTGAGATATTTTTTCTTTTTAGAATTTTTATTGCCACGTCTCGGTTCATTAAGTTAAAGGCGTTTTTGCTTTCAGAGTCATTGAACGTTCGAGATGCACTGTTTTAAAACTCCTCTGATTGCATCTGTCGTGGATTTATTATGGAACCCGTACTGGTCAATTTGTATCTGTGGAGGTTTCCTGGTTGTCTGTTGACTAAAGAGGCGTATGACCACTTCTTAGCACCATGTCTTCTAGAAGATAGTGTTTTTTGTACAGGCTTTTTATCATCACTTTGTTCCGGCAACGTCGGCACATCCCCTTTACGTCTTCTAAAAGTTACTTCCATTTCTCCGCCTTTTTTTGCTTAATGAAAGTTTTCAATCGCTAGTAGCTCGGCTTTAGCTCTTCCTCGCACAGTTCCTTCTTCGTTCACGTTTCATCTGTGTCTCGGTTGTTTTAATCTCTGTGACAGGGTCGCGCTTTATTGTGCCTGTCTTGAGCTGCAAAAACAAGCGGGCACCTTGCCGTCATTGACAACTATAAGATATTTCTCTACAGGCTACAGGTTCTGTATTAGTGTTTTTTTCTGAGGTACGGTTACTGCACCAGTTTACTCTAATAGTTTCTCTTAAAAGTGGCTTTTTATCTTCTCCTAATGTTTCCATATTCGTTCGTATTTCTTCTAGAAAAGGGCGAAATGTTTGTCTGTTTACTGAGAAGTAACTGGTATGGGAGATTGCCAGTTCGTTAATCTCAATCCATGAGAGGTTTTCGTGGCTACCGTTTTTCCTGACAGGCTGTTTCCTCTCTATTGTATTTTATCTTTTTGATCGTTACTTAGCCGAGTAGGTCCTTAGCTTTTGCCTTGATCGATTCGCCAGCAGATATATAACGTATGTAAACCTTGTCCTACTTTTTCAAGCGTGTCGTGGACTACTCCGCAGTAGTTAATATTTTCCTGCAGGACTTTGATCATACTGCCTTACTATAGCGTCCCGTCATTATATGGCCATCATCGTCAATATTAACTTCATTGTTTTTTCTTGTACGTCCGTCATTAGTTTCGGCAACTGATGCTGGTTAACTTCTGTGAGGTTCCTCTTGCTCTCCGTAAACGGTTGGGGGACACTCCCCCTTTTTCCATGACTCATCTACTTTTTCGCGGTATTGTGAGCGTGCCACAGAGGTTTCGGGGTGCTCGTCGTCTGACACACGTTTCGCCTCCTTAGTATATACCCTACATTGTCATATATATAACATCACTTCTTTGATACTCCTTTGTATTCTGTCACTAAATGTACGACTTTTTGACAGCTAAATAATATGAACAGCTGTATCGATTCGTTCAGGGGCACTTAATACTGCCTAGTAATTGGTTTCTAAAGCTAGCAGTCGCCTGGTTCCCGCTGCTGGTTCTCACATTAGACCTGTATTGTATTTTCCTAATTTAAGCAGCATCAAGAAAAAAGTAGATATCTCGGAAGACTGTTCTCCGATGGCTGCTTCGCCTCTCTGACGTTTACATCTATTCTTTCCACCTTCTTAATGGTATCTGCGAGGTCTTTAACCCCAATTTGTTTTACTTTATTTGGTTAGTAGATCGCCGACGTGTATCGTTTCCAAAAAGCAAATTTTAACTTCTGCATTCCCAGATTTTGCCCGAGTCCTGATTTCGTTAACGGTTCCTTAGGGCGTTTGACCCTCTGCAATTCGGAATCCGCCGAAGCCTCTAAGGCTTCCGTCTTCATATGTCAACTCGATATCCATACTCGCGTTTCACCTCTTATGTTCTCGAGCTACGTGTGGCAGTTCGGTTTCCCTTAACATCCTTACGGCGTCTCTGCTGCTGACGACTGTTAGCTTCCCAAGATCTCATCCCACTGCAACCGGAAAAAACAGATATTGACAGCTTAAGTGGTGACCTTGTCGCCCTCTGAGTTTCGGGTGATCAGCGGAGCTCTAACCCTTTTTGTCCCAAGGATGCCCCTGGGGTATGCTGCGCTTGTTTGGAGAGTTTTTCTGGTTCTTCTTCCCATAATAATTGTTTGAGATCGTCCATGTTTTGAGTATTTTGTAAATAATGCTTGATATCGGCTACATGTCTAGCCTCCTTGGCTTCTGCTTGTCCTTGTAACTTTATTTATGCCTGTGGCCTTGTATGCTGTTTTGATATTTTTCTGTGGTCGTGTTCCTCCTCACTGTATTTGTTTGTTCGTTCTCTTGTTGCAACTTAGGTTCATCGCTATCTTCCTGCAAACGGTTTTATTTTCTTTCTAGGCTTTTACCGCCTTTCCTTTGGCCTTGCGTCTTCTCGTGAGCGCTGCTCCTCCTTCCACCCTTTTTTCGAGGTTACAAAACAGCCAGTTCAAGAACCGTTAAAACAGTTTTAGTACCTATTTGTTTAGAAGAACCTAGTTTTGATATTAATTTTCGATATTCGAGTTTCTTCGTGAGTCTCTCTTTCAGATACCTTAGCGATTCTACAGTAACCTTCCTGAAGACGTCGGTGTAATCTGTCGCCAGGTTATTTATTTAGACAGCACCCTTTGTTTTTCTTCAAACTTTCTTCTTAAACAACTAGCCCAGGTGGGAAAGCATTCGTTCTAACACTTATGGATAGTCGGGTGACCCATCCGCCGCTCCTTTCCTATTGTACGCCGCAGGGCCTCCTGTAGACTCTTTGTCTTTCAAACACACTGAAATCACCACTTCGGGTTCCATTGATTTCGCCAAGTGCCTTCTCATTCCTTTTTTCAAAGAGATCCGTCATCCCATCAAAAAGCCTATCCTGTCTCTTCCGTGTCAGTTTTCCATTCGGTGTGTTGGCATTTGTATTGCCGATCTTGCTATTTCAAACACCCGCCATGTCGATGTACAGTTTAAATTAGCGCGCGAGAAAAGCGGTATCCGCTGCTCGGCCGCCCGGTCCATGTATTGATACAGAGGCGAGCGGCTCTGATCAACTATATGAGCCGTGTGGCCAGATTTTAGCCGCAGAAAGCTCGACTATATATAGTAGTTTACCCAAAACACACCTCAAAATACTCCCGAGACTCAATAGTACTGTTATAAAACTTTTTAAAGGCGATTTGGTCACAGGTTTTTTGAGCGGTCTCTACATCCACCTCTGGAGTGCCCGGTCGAGAGTCTATACTATAGACGTATCACGGGCTGTATCCTCATTTCTCGTCTTCGTTCAGCACGCAGTCATATACACTTTAATAATCCGCTCTGAACCATTGAACTACAATGACTTCAGCAGTATCTTTTTGGGATTCTCACTTATTATCGAAAGATTTTGACGATTTCTAGGAACACGAATAAAATAAGCCCGTTAACTTGGAGACTTCTTTAAGCCACTAAAATCTAGCTTACATGACCTTAGTTATAGTAAGCAAACGCCGCGTAAGGCTGAGGTGTATGAAGGAGGCACTTTTTTACATTTTTTTTTTATATAGACTATTTTTATTGAAAATACAAGCTTTCATTTTAATATTTAAGGAAAATTGCCTTATTGTTCTACATCACTGCAACGAACGTCAACACCAAAATGTAATCTGCAAATGCAATTACAACTTTTTCGCTTCGCAGCGGTTGGCCTGATGAACACCCACACCAAGAAAGTGTATTTATCATAGTTCCAAGAAAGCACGCGAGTGCTAATATCCCGCGAAGAGTGCAGTCTGTCTCAGTTAGAGTGGACCTTTTAGTTCCCCGCACTAAAACAGTTCTTTTTGCTCAGCGCTGATTGTGATCCCTGCTAGGATCGAATTATTTGCGCGTTTATTGCGCCGAGTTAACGATGAATTTGTTTTGATGTAGTCCATCAAATAATTAGATTTTCACTGATTTTTGTTTCCGTTATCAACCATTTCCTATGTTCCGCTGTATGCTTTGCGCCTGCTATTTGCATCATATGTTCCTTTGTATTCGATCAGCTAGTAGCTCGTACTCGGCTCTAGCCGAGACAAGCTCCAGCAAGCGTATAGCTGTGCCAAGCCGCATTGTACGCAGTCCTAAGTGTAAACATTGCCTACTCTGGCCGATTCGAATTTTCCCGCCTGGCGGGCGACGTTGTTCAACCTTCTCTATGCGGCCTTCGCCAGCTATTATGTACGTTCGACGACGAGAAAGACGACGTAGGGAGTGTGTTATTATTTTGTGAGTTAGAGTGGATTGTTATAGTGGTGCGTACTGGGGGAATCTATGTTTTGGCGTTACAGAGCGAACATCGACGTGATCGAGTGACGAGTGTTACGTCGTGCGAGCAACACCGCCAAACTGGTGAGTCGTGGTTTATGCACAGCCTACTCCGAATTCATCTGTTGTGTGGACGAAGCTACACTGTCAATCGTTTGGCCTTCGCCGCCGGGGGGAGGGGGGTAGTAGTCCAGCGGAGCTCTATGTGTTGCTGCTGTGTGCTACTGTTGGGTCAGACAGAAAGGCCAACAGTAAATGCAATTGCAGCTAGACAGCTCAGCAATCTTTCCAGAAGAAGAGCATAAATTCCTCCTGCTGCCCCCCATCCCCGACATCCTCTCCCCCCGTCCGAACCGTAGTGTTCCTCATCACCCGCCAGTGTACAGAGGAACTGCCGTAGCGACAACGACCCGAACTTTGGGTGACTTGGCCGTCGTTGCGGTTGGGTCTTGAGTGCTGAATCTATCCGAATACGGTTGTCTGTGGCGCGCTCGAATCCGTGATCTCATCGTAGCACCGGTTCAGTGCCTCTGCTGTATTCACGCTAATCGATTAACTAAGTGCTGCTTGATGAGCCTGACGGCCGCTATTGCGATTGCGACTTCTAATAGCCGCAGCGTTTCTGTGTGTATCAGCGCCGTATCATTGGGCCGATTGATGACTGAGAACTGTGAGAAAAATTATTTGAAGAAGGACCAACTATGGCTGGCATCAGTAGCAACAGCAGCAGGCCAGCACCAACCAATGGGTGTTAATACCGTCGGTTCCCTTTCCCCCTCAAACGACTCGAGCCTTCAGATCTTACTTCAAAATAGGCACAGGTGATGATCGACGGTTGCAATAATGGTTTACCCGCCCGCTACTAGGATACATAGGCCAGTGCCAGTAAGAAGTTGTTATTGCTACGATTACAAGCACTACATCTAGGTGTAAATAATGGTGTTTGTGTGTGCGTGTAGTAGATTTCTTGATTGAAATCTCGAAGACAACTGGCAGTTATTGCAGCAGCTGCAACTGTTGTAGCCATATGCGGCAGTCAAATGTGTTGCTTGGTTGTTTTGAGCTGGGCTGATTGATACTCGTCGTAGAGTTCCCGTTGTGTGTGCGTGTGCATCTGTGTGTTATTGATGTCGGTGGATAGAACTGGCTTGTGACACTGGGAGATGGAGAGGGGCTGCTAGAGTGATTGGGGGTGGGGGTTGTTGGTCGAAGCTTGTCGGTGTTGTTGTTGTTGGCGTACATAGAAGCCTGAGGTCTCCGCTGTTGGCGTACACTTCTTGTTCAGGCTTCCATTGCTGTGCATATTCCTGCCCATTCATTCTCGTGATTCGAAACAAACGCCGCCAGTCGCCACTTCGCGAAGACTAAGCAACATACAGACACGGCTGTGTCCGTGTATCTGGCTTGTGTGCGGTGCTATACCGTGTGCTTGCATGTATGTCCATCTGTCTGTCTGTGTGATGATCGCGACGGCGGCGGCAGCGGCGGCGACGACAACAACAACGCTGATAATTATAGTGTTGTTGTTGTTGTTAGCGCGGCTGAAACTGACCCAGGTATTTTAATAAACAGCGCCAACAGGCCTTACCGTAGAGGTATTGATTATATATCATTGATCATTGTTTGGATTATTATTACTTAACCCTGCGTCTGAGATGGGTGTGTTGTTACTGTTGCTGCTACATCTCTCGGGTGTCCACTTAACAAACCCATTTAAGATCACCACCGTTGTTATTGTGGACTGCAAGTGGTTGCTGTGAGCTGGCTTACGCGCTCTTAGCCGTCGCATAAGTCTCAGATTAGCCTGTCTTGTCTGGCTTCATGTTCGCTGTTGTCCATAGAACATCTAACGTCGACAAAAGCGAGTAATGCTGAACCTTCAGCTGGCGACAAGCATTCGTAAACGAATGCAGCTATTTTTCTTTATTTGTTGCTTTTGGAAAAGGGCAAACATTTGAAGGTCTCTCTGTTTGTTCAACGAGATTCGTGTTTTCAGTCGAATTGGCTACAGCATGATGTTTTGTTTGCTGTGGACATATAGATCTTTGGCTCTACATGCCATAATAGACGGTCGTAGATGGAAAATCAGCAATTTATTATCATAAGGAACAGGAATTCCAGCAGTTAGTTAGTGTTGTTTGGCTGGTAAGCCGTTTCAGCTCGAAGCATACATAATACATTATATGTGAGATTTTAGAATGGAGCAATAACGGGGCTTTTAGCAATTATTGTTGTACAAAAGCCGCTCAACATTCGGACGTTGCCTTGTAGTTATTGCTACTTTAACGTTAAGTCTACTGTGGTAGACAAATGAGGAATCATGCCTTATCTGGAGATTGTACTTTATATTATCCTGTAATTGTAACTGATTCATACTGTCAATACAGAAATAGTTGCTAATGGTGCATACAAGTTTCAATAAAATGCTGCCTTTTGTAGGCGTATGCGTGTATGGGCCTGAATATGTAAATAGGCGCGGTACCGATGGTTACATTTTAGTATAAAGAATCCGCCGTCCTCGAAACCCATGTACGTAAACCCTTTACGTTGAGGGATGAAGGGTAGACGACGTCTGTGATAACCACTGAAATTTCAGGCATCGATTAGCTTCCGAGAAATATGTCTTACTATTATTTATTTATTTGAGTTTATTGAAGTGCGCTTCTTCAATTAGCAAAATTATAGATTATCAAAGCAGATTTCCGGCATAATTATTTTTAGAACTGCCACACAATTTCATCCGAATCGTTTTTCGATTATCAATCCAAGAGCATACTATACTTAATAACCATATGCGATCTGTGTAATTTTTTATATATTTTTATCCTGAGCAAAAAAAAATTAATTTGACATTTAATATAACCGGGCAACATTTTCGGAATCTTATTTTGCTTACCCGGTTTAATTTTCTTTGACCAAATCTTCCGAAGCAAACGACGTCTGTCCAACATGACCGGTCGAATAGCATTTTTCATATCGCTAGAAAGCCATTATAATATTTCAATTAACAGATAAGGAACGAGTATCAGTCAGCTTTGTAATCATAAAGACTGTAACCAGTGAAACTGGTCAAATTTTCTCTGCTGTTGATGTTGTCGTCGTCGTCGTCAACGCATACACGTGATGACGCGTATCCGGTCTCTTGCATGTACCAAAATGCGGACAGACAACTGTCTCTCTTTGAAAATGTCCCGAAAGCGCTCGCAGTTCGAGTTTGCTGGCAAGCGAACTTCGACCCTAGTTGAGAAAAAACCTGGATATGTTTCTTCTTTAATATTTTCGATATACTCGATAAAAAAATTATCATGATAATAACAATAGCAACAGCGACCGCAGCAGCAGCTGCAGGAAGACTGCTATATTGCTACAACCTGATGGGCATGGTTATTCCTGTCGCTGTCGCTGTTGCGTGTGCTCCAGCTGCAACGGCTGCGGTTCGTCGGCGATGGCGGTGGCCAACGATGTTATTGTTGTTGTTAATTCGGCTGCGGCAGTAGCTGTGATTTTACCGGCGACGGCGGCAGCAGCAGCAGCGGCGCGTTGGTTAAAGTGTCGGTAGAAATGGAAATGATGCTTCATCAAGTCAAGTAAGTTGACAGGAACTCAACCAGTCCACTTGGGTGGGATAGAGTATACTGGATGGATGTTATGTCTGTGTCAGTAGTACCAGAAGCATTCGTACGAAATGGCCATGCAGAGCCTAAATGCCAACGATATATGAGTTAATGGCATGAAGTGCCCGCGAGGTGGAAATCGGGTGAGGCCAGATGGATATCGAGGGGGAAACAAATAGATCTATCCATGGTGGTACACGGTAACTGGCTACGTGTAGAACTGTGGTAACGACGGCGGTTGGGAAGGTCCTGTAATTAACTATATCAATATTAAGCAATACAAAGTGTCAGCGTATGTACGTTGCCTTAAAAACTACGCGGTTCACTGACAGCGATTGAGTAACTAATCGACTGGAGCCCGCTGGAAGAATTTCGCGTCATAAATGCGCGGTTCAAATGTATAATGAAGTATCGATAATGGTACTTTTTGCCGGCGGTACAATATGCATATCATCAGATATATGATTTCGAAACAAAATGGTGAGCAACCGCACTAGAGTATAAGAACGAGTTGAAGCGACTCTGGTGAGAAATAAAAGGCGGAATGCAACACCACCTACTTGTCGTATTGCATATTATGTAAATATTTATATTAATTAATTGATTATTTATGACGAAATGATTTCCTTCTGAACATATTTTGAATCCATATGGAGAGGTTATCGATATGATGATGGTTGTAATGATGTTGATCATGAGTACAGATATGTGTGAAGAAATGAAGATTATGTTAATTTATATACTCTGTTTAAAGCTAATTTTATATAGGTCAGTTGAATAGTTTAAGAATAAGATATAGTAATTATACATAATATATAGTAGTAACATTGTATATATATATTTGTGTTACAGCACCTATAAAAATATTCTTTATATTTAGCAAAACATAAAAAATATTCTAGCTGTAAGTTGTATTCTACCCATGACTCCCGTGAATGTATAGACTGTGTCCGACTGAGATGTTTTAATACGAAAAATGTTAATCTGAATTTTCAAATTTTTATGTATTTTATTAGAAGATGAATACATTCTTGGCAACCAGCCAAAAACTTGAGTACTTGCCACAGCCAATATAATTGACCTGCTGTGGCTTTTTCTATTAGAGGCTGAAAGTTCAAGAGGGTAGCACCCGCAGCGACAGGGCGCTACGCCGGACATTCGGGCCTTCTGGACTTTCTGGGGTGAGTCACAAGTTCGTATCCTTTAGACGTGCGACATATTAGCACATGAGATCGCGACAGGCCAATTTTCGTCACCGAAAATCTGTCACATTTTGTACGAATAGTTGCTACTATTACTAAAAAATATGCCGCTAGTGTATATCAGTAATAATTAGCTTTACTTCCTATTTAATCCAACACTAACAGACGGATTAGTTTATTTCTTCAGCAGTGCGTTCAAGGATTCAGTTCATATGCAATCGCCGCTATTCACGTAGTGCTCGGGCGTTCTCCAATACATACATTGTTGTAGATGCTTTTTATGCTATTCGTAAACGACCTGAGAATATCTAGGTGCAGCAAACGCTAACCGTGACTCGTTTTTGGTGAATAATTGAGGTCTCTTTGGTTGTCGTAAATAGAAAAATACGGGCAACGGGCTGAATAGAGCAACAAGTAACCTTGACTAATTTGTATTAGCATGAAGTCAAAAATAATTTTAACTAATTTAGGATAAAGATAAATAAGCAATACTCTGCGCTAAGAAGCAGAGGTTTATAACACCTCCTTGTCGCACCTTTTCTTTCTTTTCACTTTTCGCTTTCCTGGTGGTACAGTTAATCCTAAATAGCTTGAAACTATCATAAATAGCGAATTATCTTCTATACAAGAGGCTCTTTATTTTGTAACAAAATGCTATGTACACAAGAGTTGTTCAGGAAAAAGCAATTTTCGCATCTTTCGCCTTGCATATAATATTACTGGTACATGAGCGGGTTTTCTTAAGCATCTGTCTTAATTACTGGAGACGCTTTTTTAAGAAAAATATAGAGAGCGAATGGATTTCGAAGCATTTATCCAATATCTATCTATCTATAGCATTATGCGCCTTCTATTGCAGTTTTTGTGCGGTTCAGCAAATGACATTAACAATATCTGTTTTTTTACTTGTTCTTTCATTTTGTTTCCAGGCAACGATGAGCTCGCCATCTCCGTCGCAGTTGGCATACGGCCAACCAACGGGCAGTTCGCTAATTCCCTTTTTCGTAGGCTCTCCTGGCCCGCAGGGCGGCGGTGCCATGGGCGCCAGTGGTGGACTCGGCGGGCCTATGGGCTCTGGAATGGGCAATCCCCGAGACCAAGGCCTACAGCAACCTCCACAACGAGCAGATGTAGCAGACATGGAACGCTTCCAGCAAGGATCGAATCGGATAGGAACGCCAACATTGGCTGGGGGTGGGGCCAGTAGAGGTCAGATGGCCGTCGGTGGTTCTAGACCTATCGGACCCCACAGCAATAACAACAACAATAACAATAACAACAATAGTACCTCACAACAAAATAGTAACAACCAACGGTAGGTTCGAGAAAAACCTCTCACCTGCGTGTATTTGGATAACACTTAATAATGTTAAGCGGCTGAACATTGTTCTGTATGAGTTATTGTAGTAATAATATAGTTTACTAAGTTGAAAATCTTATTCTATTTAAATAACACAAGTGAAGACCTTGGTATCTACCAAGGTTATTGAAGTGTTATTTTAAGTTATCCAAGTAGTATATTTGACGTAATTGAATTATTTGGACATGTGCAATCAAATGAACAATCATATTCCTTTGTATATCCTACTATGCGCATTGCACTTATAAAAAAAATTGCCGCATATCCAAATGCTTGTACTTGAAAATTATTTGTATGTTATGTATTTACATTTTTTTGCTAGCTTTATTTGTACCTAAGGAGAATATTTTAGTGAACATCTTCTAAATTATACTACACTTTTTAAATGTGAAAATTAATTATCAATATTAGCTTTGCTCATCGATTCTTTGTGTACTAATGACCTATATTTGACGGCATACGTGCGCACCCATGTGATCTCCCTTTACAGGTTCAGTGAGCAAAGTCCGATGCTATGGCGTAATGGCGGTGGAGGTGGGGGTAGTGGCCCTCGGGGGAACCCCTTCAACTCGAATCCTTCCCTCGACCTTTCCGAGTTTCCATCATTAACTAACCGCGACTCAGCAGCCAACATTAACCCTATGTCCGGCAGAACACCTTACGGTGAGTTTATATCACTGGTGCTATATGATACGTATATCTTCGAAGTCAATGATACCATACTTTGCTCTGTGCTACATCCTCCGCGATATTAGCCATAGCATCGTTGTGCAGTGCTTGTGCAATGCTACATTTCGCATGACGCGCGCTATGCCGCGTGTATTAGCCAAGATATGTTGAAAGATTGACTTCATCGATGTATCTATTTAATTGTATTATGGAGCAACAGATTTTACTATTTCGTTCATTTTCATCCGACCTGAAAGACTATCTCGATTTTAGGAAACTATCGAAATTGATATTTACGAAGTTATTATTATAATTATCACATTTTACGAACACTGAGTTCTAAGATAAAGAGTAACGGGAGGGCGGAACGAGGTAAAGAACACGATATTTTGAACACTTTCGGCGATTTCGACAGGAACAGTCACTTTGCACTAACGAAGTGAGAGATAAAAAAAATCGTTGCTATACTACGATTATCTATTGTAGAATTAGGCCAGATTTGCTTTGGGCCGAAGAGCTAAGACCTGCCATATTTGGTATAGCGTATACAGTTGTAAGCCTACAGTTGTCTGTGGTATTGTAATTAGTGACACACGTTGTTGGTGGTAGATAGTAATATAAGTAGACATAATACGGTGTGTACCATTTTGCATCCGAACTCATATTGTGATTTTAACTATTTTTGCAGTTGTGAGACTCAATCAACATTTTGCATGTGGGTATTATGTTTATCTTCTGCGTTTTGCCCCTCCATTCCTTGCCCTCCCTTTTTCAGTCCTTACATTTTACTCTGTTGTTTTTTTCTATATCGATCAGTGTTTTCGAAGAGAGCACCTGCTATTTTGCGAGCATTTAGAACTATACGACAGATACCTCAAAGCTTATTCAGACTTATTACGAAAACGTTGGATTTATAATTATATATCAACGAAAATGGCGTTTACCTAACGTATAATGCACTGTTCAAAAATCCAGAGAAACACGCTGTTACAACAATTAATATCATTACGTTAGTTGGTGTTGATTTCCAATCAATCTCATATAGATTTTTTCTGTTGCGAGTAAAAGGTACTGAAATTCTGTGGCATTGGCTGTTTCCGAAGTTTCCACGAACCCGTAAAAGCAATTTTTCAATTTCATTATTGATTAAATTTTGTCAGTTCCGACGCCATATTCGATAAAAGGAGATTAACTTTATCACACGTTAGCTCCTCGAAAACACTGGACATCGTGGAATGCATTGCGTTCTTATCTAATTTCGTAGATTTAAAGAAAAATATATAATTTATATGTATTAATAGAAACAGATCACATTTTTACGTACGTGTACACAAATATTTAGCTATTAATGTACATTACCATTTCTATTATCGCACATTTTGAAGACTTTTATCTACTGCATCCCATTGAACTAATATATTCCTTCTTTGTTACCCTCTATGAAGCTAATCCATATGATAAGTGCAGGTGATAAATGAGAAGTTCTAATGTTGGTTTACCCCTTCCTGCCTGGTATTCCCTGCTCATCTGCTCACACCGGTACTGATTTGGTCATCGGTTCTGCAGTTGGCATGGTAAAAAACCCTAATAGCGAAGCTAGTGAATTTCACATTCAAAACGAGGACTTCCCTGCGTTACCTGGCTCGAACCATAGCAATCTCGGCAATCAACAGAGTCCAAGCACAACAGGACCCCAACAGGATACTAGCGGCAACCCCGGAAGCAATTCTCAGCAGCAGATCTCGCAACAGGTGATATATAGTTCGTAACTATTTTTAACCTGTACGAGATCGTTTAAAATTCTACCATTCGCCGTCCGCTCTACTTCAAGCCCACATTATGCAGCCGTAGACAAAGGTCACAAGGTTTCATTAAGCCTTCATATTGTTAGCGACCCTAGAGTTAGAACTTGGCTGGAGATCAATCTAGCAAACAACTACTCAAAGGGCTGGATAACAACATAGAAACAAAGTCACAAAATCTTCATCTTACATGGGTTTTTCCTATATTTTATTCTAGAATTTTGTAGTAGAAAAAAATCTGCTATTTGTGATTTATTGTCATTCACTGGCGTTCGTAAGATTGTTGCTTTGCTTTGTGCATTGGGTGAATTGAATCATTCCGCGAAAATCTATGCTTAGAGACATAAATTAGAGACAGGTAACCTCTCAATCTAACCCATCGGACTTCTTACCTGTTTCCAGGTAAATAACGCAAAGAATGGCCTTTCAAATGGACACATTATGACGGGTGATAAGAGTGTCAACGGAGGGCCGCTAAAAGGGGACCCGGCAGGACTAGCATCTCATCAAGGCAACCCGAGCGGTCAGAGTGCTGTTGGTAGTCGGAAGCAGATCATAACGACGAAAGACGGCCGGGTAAGCAATATCCCTCCCGGTATGATTCGCGATCAGTACGGCATGGTTGGTCTGTTGACCTTCATCCGCGTAGCAGAAAGCGAACCGAATCTTGTGACGTTGGCACTAGGTTCGGACCTGACAACACTTGGGTTAAATCTTAACTCGCAAGAGAATCTGTTCACGGTATTCGGTGGACCCTGGGCCGAGCAGGCATTACGGCCGCATGAGATGGAGTACAGCGTGCCGACGGAGTACCTCATTAACTCACAGATCAAAGACAAACTATCGCCTATCAAATTGCACCGCTATAGTGAAGACACACTATTCTTTCTGTTCTATATGTATGGTGGGGACATTATGCAGCTTGTGGCCGCATCCGAATTGTATAATCGGGATTGGCGGTTCCATCGCGACGAGCGGGTGTGGATCACGCGGGCCGGCATCAATCCGACAGAGAAGACTAGTACGTACGAACGAGGTACATATTATTTCTTTGACCCCGTCAACTGGCGGAAGGTTGCGAAGGAGTTCCACCTTGAGTATGAGCGACTCGAGGAGCGTCCACCTCCACTAAGTTTCCCTAGCGGCTTGTGATCAAGCAATTCGTCGTCGTAGTACAGGCCAGACCATTCGTCCCGTTTATCTCGTTCAAGTCGTAGCTATCGCGGATGGATGGTCGGCCGTTTTGTCAGTCAATTGTCAGTCAATCTTAATGGTTCGATTGATTGGTGATAGATATGGTTCTTCAGGTGATTCAGGCCAGCATTCAGAAAGGCGTCGGTGTGCGTTGTATATTTGATTGCTGGCCAGCCACTGGCTCGAAAGCTGCCTCATCCGAGCCTTGCGGGACCCTGACGAACCGGCTGGTCTGGTGGACGGTTAGGTCTGAGCTCTGTAGCTGCACTCTACATATGCCGCCTTCTTCAAGTGCTTACCTGTAGGTGGCTAGCAGAACGAAGTAAGGGCCAAAGCTGATCCACCGACCAGCCGGCGCGTCGTTGTGTGAGGAAACAACTCTGTGTAGGTTTCTTGTAGGGGGTCCGAGGCCAGCTAGCCGTGTCTACTGTGTGTGTATGAAGATGATGATGAAAATGAAAAGAAGAAGAGGAGGCGAGCGCTGCTGGCTGATCTCTCCGTGGATGAGGGGCACGAGTCTTGGCAGCAGTCTGTCACATATTTAAGAGCTGAATCGGTTGGTGGGCGCTGCTCGGTCGCGGTGAATGTAGTTAGTGGTTGATTGATATTCCACGCTATTCCGTTGTATTCCACGCTATTCCACATACGAAAAACGTCAAAACGTTGTGTGGTGAGGCCCTTTCGTCGAAAAGGACCCTTTGTCCGCTCCTATAGCAAGCTACTACAACTAAAGCTACAATTACAACTGCGATTTGCATCTGCATCTGCTACTGCTCTACCACAGCTAAATATCAGTCATCTCGTCTTCTGTCCGTTTCGATACCTCTCTATATTCACTTTGTCGTAGGCCTGAGATGTCTGAAGAAGAAGACAAAGAAAAGGAACGGAAACATACAACAAACAGCAAATAAATCATGGCGCGTGAAGGGGCAACTCGGCCTTCATAAGCTCGCCAGATGTTCGCCGTCGGTCTTATCCGCTATCCACCATGTTTTGTATATGTAAAGCAGACAAATTCATCACGTCAATAACAAACAGAAGCGACCTCAAAAGTAAAACAAACAGGGAAATATTAAAAGAAAGAGATTTTGACAGTAAACAAAGAAGGCCACAAGGGACCAAGCCACCATTGGAAAGTAAATATATCGGAGCGAAATCATTTGTTTTTCCGTTGTTAGTGGATTTTACTCAATTCTCCACAGATGCACTTAGACTGATCCAGCGATTACAACAACAATAGTAATTATTATTACAATATTAAAAGTTATATTTTCAGTATTAAGAATGGCTTGTCCGTGTATTCGTACAATACTGCACACAAAATTCGGATTTAGTTTTGTTTTGAAATAAACTACCCGACTAGTTAGCAAGTTAGCTAAGCAATATAAAGGCAAATAATGGTCAGGATGTGTAAAGAACAAAAAGACTGTAACGAGAGTGAATCCAGTGTCATGGTCAGGAACGTTTGGGAATGTCAGACATGGGATTATTTTTTCTTGTTGTTACAAAAATAAACCCTGTCATAGGAAATGTATAATAACAATAACAACCATTAGTAATATAATAATTTAAACATTAATGGCTATACTGTTCCATTACTGCGTCCATTGTTAGCCACCTAGCTTCAATTGCATTTATTAGCTTACTCAGATTCTTAATTTAGCACTGACCTCATCCAAACAATGCTGACCTCGGCACTAAGCGCACTTTTTTTGGGTTTTTCAAGGGTTTTCTTTTTGCTTTTTACACATGCTGGACCCAATTTTTTTGCTCAGCCAGCTTGCCAGATGAATAGCTCATTTCAAAGCAAATAACAATTTGAATCTCTTACGCATTAGAGAACCAATACACAGAAAAAATATCACCATTTTTGTTCATACTATTACCATTATTATTGTAATCGCTTCATCAGTATTTATGAAAGCGGAATCGTGAGAAATTTAGTCAAATTCATGCATAAAAGGAAACAAATTAAAATTTAACATCCGTTTGCTAGAAGTTCCTTTGTTGACAACCGTGCCTTTGAGTATATCGATTGCACGAGCACGTTAAAATAGCTTACCAGTCAATTGATGAAACAACCCTGAAAACATTCATTTTTTATACTTGATTTTGCTTCGAAAGATTTGCTTGCCAATAGTTGTTTAATTCCCTGTAGTTTTTTGTTTGTGTGTTTTAAATTCAGTTATGAAGATTTTGTTGGCAATTGACTAGGGAGGGGCAATATATATAGGGAACGATAACTAAGTGATGGGAATGACGCCGAAATAAGAATCTGACTCCGTAAGAAAATGCAATCAAGACAGATTGGTTCACAAGAGTCGCAGTAGCAGTTTAACATAATTTTCATATTTTGAGATGACAAAAATTATATTTTGATGGAGATTTGATTTTGGTATTAAAATGTAGTACTGAAAGATAGAAAAGAATAGAAAATCATGGGGAGAATAGGGAGAATGGTGGCGGTGAACTACCAGTTGTGCCGTAAGCCTGAAAGCAGTGTTTTGTTTTAGTTCGGAGATATAAAAAATGAACACGAAAAGAATAAAAATGAAGCAAGTAGAAAATTTATTTTTTGCTTGCTGCATTTTTGTTCTTCATCGAGGTCAGTAGTGTTTGGCCTGCTGCTATTGTTGCTTTCAATACAGTCCGGCTTTTAATACAATTTGACTGAAGTTGCCGATGGATGCCTCAGCTAATACAAGGCCCTGCCTACGGATAAACACGCGCCCTGTCATTTTGAGTTTTGTTGTAAAATTTTCGTTGATAACTAAGTGAGGAGGAATAACACGGCACAATGATAAGGTGACGAGGTCAACGCTAAATTAAGGATCTGGCAAATGCAATTGAAGCAAAGTGGTAAACAATAGCCGCAGTAGCGAAACAGTAGAACCATCAATGTTTAAATAATACAGCAGAGAATACAGTGGTGGGATACAAGTGTGTAAGTTTAAATGGAACAAAGACTGTGAATAGAATATTATTAGTATATATAACTGTGTTTATTATTGTAACAGCAACAAGAAACTGTAAAAGTGAAAATCATCCCGTATATGTATTTCTTCTTTCACCTTTGAGCGAACGACGATGACGACGATGAAAACAATCCTACAGTAACAACAACAACAACAACAACAACCACAACAACAGCCACAACAACAACAACAAACAAAAACACACGACGATATTTGACGGTTCAGACGGCGGCAGAAATCGCGCTTGGCCCAAGATGTGGTTATGTCTGCTATTTTTATTGATTATATGCACAAAGCAATGAAAGAAAACAAGCAAAAAACGAACGAAAACAATTATAATGCTGGTGATAATAATAGTGAATAAAATACCTGCACAACGCGTAAGTGACGGCAACCGACATAAGAAAGAGAGAGAGAGAGAGAGAGAGTGAAAATAGGCAAAGACAAAAACGAAAAACACTTAGCAACGAAAATTTGTGCTGGCATTCGGCTGAAGAGCGGGGTAACAAAAAGTCAGTGAAGAATCTCTACTCTTTATTTGCTCTCACCTTCGTTACTGCGCAGCTAGCGCCTGATAAATTCGAGTCGGTTTGTAGTTTCAAGGTTTGAAATGTACTAATTCACCTATTAATAATTGATCGGACCATAAGAGAAATTCAGCTGAAATCAGAGTCAAATAAGGCAGAAAACAACTAGAAGGCGAATGAAAATTCATTTAACAACTAGAATAATCTTTTTAAAAGGCAAATCGCCAAACTGCTGCTTCTGACGGTGTTCGTAATGATAATGATGATGAGACAGCTAATGATGGTGATCATGATGCGAATGATTAACAATTAACGATGCTGAGAAGAATCGATCGATTGCTTTGATAGTGGTAATGCAATGATGATACTGATGACAATGTAAAGATGGAGAACATAAATATATTATAAAATATAATACTACATTGATGGATGGAGCTGCTGCAACTCTCAAACTCAAACTCGCGCGCGTCACTGTGGACCAACGAGCTGTACAGTCATTCCGGGGGTTCATGGACGCGTGTCTTCTGTGAATATGTAAAGTGTTGATCACTCTGAGGGAAAACGCGTGCTGCTACGGGAAATAGGGTGGGATAGTGACGGGAGATTTAATGACGCATACGACAAGAATAATTATGAGGAAAAACATCACTGTCAAGACAACTACAACATTGAGACATCATCAACATTCACAACGAAGACAACAACAACAACAACGACAACATCAATAACATTAACAACAATAACAACATACAGGGGACAATAGAAGTAAAAAAAATAGGACTGAAACATCAATAGCGATTAGGAGAAGTAAGAACAAAACGACCAATGTTTAAAAGAAAAGTAACTACATATATACATATATATATAAATATAAAAAGAAAATATAAATATTAAGTAAATAAATGCCGTAGTGTATCTCAATACATAAACGGACCCGGTTTACATTTCCTGTTTGTTACTAGCGATGAGGATGAAAGTAACTGCAATATTAATTTTCATTTATTCTATTATGTGTTGTTAAAAATTGAGAAAATGAGTCGCGTTATTCAAATTGTACCAAGGTCGAATTACACTATTACAATAAGTAACTAGTTAATATATATATATATCATAGTTATAACAACAGTCGTTATTGACTGTTGTTACAATCGCGGTACCGTGCATGTGTGCGAACCTCACCGCAAAGAGCAAAATATCGAAGTCTAAAGCCGGGTTGAATTTTTTGACCCAATGTTCATAATCCTTAGCTCGAATCATGCCTCGGAAAATGAACAGTTTCTACCGGTAATCAGCCAATTGAGGGATACATGACAACAACGTCACTCGAACACTCATCTCGACCACAAACAATGACGCCAAGACAGACAATCACACAACTGCATTGACATTCGCAAACGCACATGATTTAGACTTTTCAACTATTCCATTGGCATAAAGACCTGCTAGCCATTTCGTGTAGCGGAAACGACGCCGATGGAAACAGGAACAGCCACAGAAACAACAACAATAACAACGATATAAATACCCATAATACAACAATAAAACTCCAGCAACAAAAAGCAAAGTGGAATTACACACGACAGCATGAGAAAACAACTGGACTAAGCGGCATCAACAACTGCTATATATATGTATGTATATATATACACTATCACCAGTGGACGGAATAGAGGCAAACCAACTGATTGAGGCAAAACAAAGGTAAATAAATCTTATTTCATCCGTCGTACAAATAATATCCGTTTCTTTTTCTCGTTAGCTGGAGAGAACCTAAAAAGTGTGAATTATGATAAATAGATGTAGGATCATTTGGTATAAAACACTGTGGACGCGTCTAGTAACTACGACTTGTTGAGTTCGGCAACAACGAGTTTTCACTTAACCTTTCCAAGGCAAACATCTCTATATTTAACGGGCTTTCGCAATTCCCTTTCGTTGTTGTTTCAAAAAATGCTGTTAAATTTTCTGCTGGGCGTATATGCAAATTTGCACCTTAGTTGAGCGAGCTAATGTATTTGAGATGAAACTCTCTATTATAATTCTACCGTATATTATTAAAAAACGTCCGATATTCTTTGTACTGGCTATTTGAACTTACTCATTGACTCGATGTTCTTCTCGTTACCGTAACTAAAGTCTCTTAACACAGCTGCCCCACCACTTGGATAATTGCAGAACTATTTTTTGCCTGATAATAATATCTGACGTTACTGAAAATTTTAACAGACCTAAACATTTTTTAGTAATTTTACACCATTGATTTTTCGGATCAGCTTTCTTAAGGACTCATTTGAACTTTAGTGACAGAACTCCGGTACATTTAAGAATCCGTATAGTATTAGCGCAGCATTATATAAACAGTTGAAAGAATCAGCTATACAATACGTGTTTGACAAGAATACGAAGGGCCGTTCGATAGGTGGGAGAACTAAAATCAGGTAAAATTGAAATGTAAAGAAACATGTTTATATGAACGAAAAAAAAAATACTATTAGAAATTAGAGTATAAAAGCAAAACAAGCAAGCACTTCATCCGTTATATGCCTTAGATAATTTCCTTTCCAGTTGCGCTTAGCTATTTGCAGATACAATAATATAATATACAAGTCCCTATTATGCGAAATACTGTGAGAACAAGTAGCTAACCATTAATGCTTAATTTTTGCTCATCCAATTTCTTATCAATTTAGTGAGATAGCTCTAATAAATAAAACACTGATTAGGATTTAGCTCCGCAGACAGCAACATGATAAATAATACCATCGAGTTTTCAAATAACAAATTACATTATATTTATTCTAACAATAACAGGTGCTCAACTCACGATTCGTTTCCTTATGATCTGAATATAATTTTTTATATGGTGCCTATAGAAAAGTAGCTTCTAGCCATTTTCTAGCATCTGATTAATTCAGACATACATTTTTACATTAATAATGGCATAGGTTTAATTTTGCTTGATTCCCAATGTTTTTTACGGTCCAAGATGACACGACCCGATGAATCGCACAAGTGAAAATTAGGACAGTGGTTGCAAGCTACAATCAATTTGTACAGAACTCTGCTATTCAACAGGAAATGTTTTGGTGATTGTTTGTTGAGGCTTCAGATTTTAGTCGATCAACAGGCTTGAGACGTATTATATTCTTAACTGGCTTCGTAAAAAGTTCAGCTTACCAAAATGCTACCTTTGTGGAAACTACCAGCGTTATCTTGGCACTGGACAGTTCATTTGTTCACTGACAGTTTGTCATTGTGGTAGGCCCAACTTTTTTAAACTGGCTTACTTTTAGATTAACAACAACAGGGACGGGTCGAAAATTTCTGCTACGAGCCCTCAGCGATGAACTTCTAATTTTCTCGTACAGCTGTGATCGTCGCAGAAGTTCCCTTTAATAATTTGCTTTTGGCCTAGTTGACAAACGACGGTTAATTGTGGCTTTACGAAAATCTGGATAGCTTATTGGCTCTTGATACCGAAGCGCGCACTAGTGGCGGACGTTTTATGAATTTTTGTTGAGGAAAATTTGAAGATTACGTTGACAAAAGTCGAAATTAGTTCAACGCTTCCATTTTATGCAATTAAACTTATATGCTCAATGCATAAATGAAGAGATCCAACCCACAGTCAGTTATTATATATGCATATGAAAATCAGCAGCTGTTTGCACGCTATAAATATTTTACTTCGCGGCTATATCGTCTACTGGTGTGATTATCGTTCGCATATTACAAACCTGTAGGAAAACTGAGCCTCGGTGGATGCTTTTCAAGCTGCTCGTAAGGAAGCGGACACGACTTGGTCTCTTGGCGCCAGTTTAGCGGGTCGAAGAACTCAAATGTATGGTTATTGCAGTCGGATTTCGAGTCAGTCAGTTTGAGCCAAACTTGTTCACGGCGATGAAACAGCCATTCGCGCCGATGCAGCTCCCTTGAAGCGGTCAGTTGCATGACGCTGCCACCACACGTATAGAAGAGAAAGAATAACGTGTCTTCGGTCAGGTTTGTCATCTTAATTAGCGGTAGGCGAAGCGGTTGTATTTTGTTGAAATTCTCGCTGAAACGATACTCGTCCGGAACGTCAGCTTCAATTTCGTGCAACCCTAAGCTACGTTCCTGTATTGTGCCGTTGAATGTGTCTAGTACGTTGTCCGTTGAGTGGAACTCAGGCATTAACTTTGTGGGCTTCATGCCAAACGTCACTAAGCGTCTGCCTGGGTGTTTATCAGCCCATTTAAGGTGGTTGTAAAGTTCTAGCAAGCCATATGGACCGCATGTCTGTCCCGCTAGACTTTCTTTTGGCTCGCAAAGCTCAGCTTTCATGATAAAACGTTTTTCGGCGAGGTTATCTTGGAAATGGGCATTTGGGAAGCAACAATGTCCGGCACAATTTTCGTCTATTCGTGAAAAACATAGATCATTTGGAGTAACATCCCCATCTTTCTCCATCATGCTCATCACTAAATATGATTGTTTACGTGGTTGATTGACCTTTCTGAAATGATTGATTCAAAATAAATGCACCACTATTGATACAATGGTCACCAATATAAGAAAAACTATACTACTACTACTATTAATAGAAAAATAAGAATCATTTTTAGTCCACGACAAAGGCGATAAAGCAATATCTAAAGGCATTACTATAGTAGGAATAAAAAAACTCGATTTCTTCATTTTGTTTTGTTCATCATAATATCCCTTCAAGCCTGGGCATCTTGATATTCTGTCCAAACAGATTTCCTTACATTTCGAGCTAAGTCAAGAAAACCAAAGCGTTAGTCTATTGAAGTTGGAAAAGAGTCTTGTAAAGGATGGTTAAAAAAATTCGCTTCGGATTTCGAGAGCAGGTCGATCCCAGCCAAATGTCTCGTAGAGTTCATCTGTTCAACAGTGTGGGTCTATTCTTGGGACTCTTCGTATACCCGTATAAGAATTGTCTGGAGAGCTTAAACTACAATCAGTAGTAGCCTGAAAATATGATTGCGGCGTTCGTTCGTGCGTGGCGCATTCCATAAATGCTGGTATTTTGTGTCACTGCTGCGCTTGTAAGATGCATTAGGCAGTTGTCAGGATCAGAAGAAAGTAGAAAGAACGAATGTTACTTTAGAATAAATCTATGAATTTCTAATTAAAGGCATGAGAAAGGTCGATTGCAAATGTGTCGAACGGGCCCCTGCTTTGGATTGTATAAAACAGTTGCTATATTCAGATTTGTTGTACTCGCCTTGCAGATGTGAGCCTTTAGGTCCGTCGTTACCACCGTTTGTTTAGCTAAGCGACATCTGTTGACCGAATACGTTTTTCACTGTGTTAATAAATTTCCAAATCGTCCTATTGTAAGCGACTGAAAAGCACATCGCATGCAGTGACTGGGCATACTTTGCAGGCTAGTGTTCATCGCAATTCGAACATTGAGCTGATCTTACCCTTCCTCGCCTTTGTTCGACTGAGCGAACACATTATGTGACAAACAGGAGCCGAAAGGCCCGACGATTGGTTCTCTGGCCGAAGTCCTTGCTTGAATCAGCTGACACATTAATCGGAAGACCTGATATGCGAGACAGAATTGACCCCATCGCTTTCTTTGTTAACGTGCAATATGCGTCAGATTGTACCATACCTGTTCCAACCAAAACGTTCACTTTGTCGGAATAACCCATTTCTCTGGGCTATTCATCAGGAAGGCTAGCGAGCTTTGCCATTGTATGAGACCGGCGTGGTGAACCTTCCAGTACCGGTAACTGCCCGTTTCAAGTAGTAAGGTAAGTTCGATCACGCTTTATTCGTATTGTCGAATTTAACCACCTATTTGATAGCTGCATTTTTATCTGCATAAAACATGTGGCAAATTCAATAGAACGTAAATATGTAAAATCAGCATACTGGGTATTTAGTGGTTTTTTATGGATAACTGATGGACTTTATGCTCGACGGAATAGATCGAATTGCTATGTCATATGGCAAACAGCTATATATTTTCAAGTTATGATAAAAAAAATTCGGGTCTACGCACTCATTTCATAGCATAGTAAGAGCCTACGAGCTGCTAACGAAACACGAGGCCTAGCGATAAGGCTTAATGGGATCATCGCTTGAGGCATTTTGGCACGAAACACGAAAGTGAACATCATCCCTAAGTACGAGCACGTAACACAGCATATTTTATAGCCTCTTTTGATAAAAAAGGGCATAAGATTAAAAATCAGGAAAAGCGAGTCATGACATATATGTCATGCACAATACCTAGAAAAGATGAGGCTAAGCTCTTTTTGTTTTTCGTGCAGAAGATGTCCCAGACAGGGTTAAGTGTGTCTGCAAAGGCACAACGGATGACATCATATCACCTAGGGCTTGCCGTCTTGCTCGGTGCACAAATAATGCTATTTTGCATCTACAGTACTGAGACGCCGGTAGACAATGTCTAAATCACCCAAATAATACCGTTGTCGGTTAATGGAGTTAAGGGCTGACTCATCGGTTTAGGTGAGATGACTTACGTGAGGTAAGCACAAGACGAAGTTTTTGACGCGTACAAACTTATACGAGTGAACTAATAATCGAATGCGTATTTGAGGTGCATGTCCACACAAGCTCCTTATTATTTTTACTTAAAAGAAGTATAATTTGGATTTCCATATGATATGATGCGTATAATACAAAAAAGTGAGATGAATGTGAGTCTAGATACGTCGTTCACCCGAATATAACGAAAAGCGGCTGTGCCCATTTCCTCGGCGTAGGCACGCTCGCCTACAAGCGCACAGAAGACTGGCAGGTTCTAATGCCTGGGAAGGATTCACCTTTCTTCTTTCGGCTGATACTACGTTCAGGTCACACTTATACGTAGAGGATTACCTCTGTGTGCACATGTTTTTGCCTTATGAAAAAAAGAGTAAATTTTATATAAATCCGCAAGTATCACCTTGTCTCACTGGCAAACATGTTGTACCTGTCATTACGCAAATACGATATTTTGAACAACAGACCTGCGGCTACCTATGCACACTATTTTGTAACATCTACTCATTCCCAAGCGCATTATAGACGATATACGACTGATAGAAAACAATCTGCTAATTTTACATTTTACTTATGACAATAAGCAAAAAATATATGGTTTTGTCTAGCTAAGGTTGATTCGCAGATATCAAAAAAAAGTTCTGCCACACATCTATATAACTATTGCAATAACGACATCAACGTTTCCGCAACACTTGAATAAATGAGGTATTTATAGTCATTTATCATAAATACTACGACTTTAAGCGACACATGAGTTAAAAGGAAATGTAGTTAGTCGGTTTACAGAATAACTTCAATATAAATGTTATCTTCACCTGTCCTTACCCTGTCCTGAATATGAAATTTCCTGCTTGCGCGATAGGCGCACACCAGTTTATATTTGGCTAGGTTGATCAGGCCAGATGCGGCACTTTAAAAGCTTTGCCTTTTCGTGTTAATGAAACTCGTTGGAATCCTATCTTTTACGGGATCGTTGGTCTACAGGCTCTGACCTCAGGCGCTGTTACCCAATGACGATGTTCAGTACAGGCTCCAACCCTCAGTTCAGGTTTACACATTTACTCAATTGAGTAGCTCATAAAAAGAAAACTTCGATCTATTGGATTTCACATAGAGATCGGGTGACATTATTTGGTTGTTTGAAAGAAGCAAGCAAGCGTATGAGTGAGTTTCTATTGAAGTCTCTTCCACCCCAACCCTTTTGGGTCGTTTCTACGCCATTATGATGGGAACAAGCCTAAATTTGAGGTCATTAAAACGGGGGTCCTCTTCCGTTTTATGGGATGGGAGAGTTCTGATGAAATAGCCTTGTGCAGCTCAAGAGAAAATCTGTTTTTGATTACCTTGAACACGATCTGTTCCTGATTTTTTTTCGCGAACTCAATAGAAGGAATATGAATATCATAACTGTCAACTACAAATCTCCTTAGAGATTCCAGCAGTTATTATTCTACGGTCAAACATTACCAATATTTATACCTTTCTTTTAGCTATGTAATATATACTAAGGAGTTTCAAAATCTCTCTCTATCTCTGCCGGCTAGGATTACCCCTTTTTCGTCTCGACCTTTAGGGAGTAAAGTTTGTAGACTACAACTATGTAGCTAGCTAGACTAGAAGAAAGTTAATATGAAAAAATAGCGTAACTGTCTATAGTGGACTCTGCAAGTCATAGTGTATACAACTTTAAGAAAAGATAGCGGATAAAGGAAAAGATTAGTCCCGACAGGGTATAAATCTATGATAATCTTTTGGAGCACCTCTGACAAGTCAGACTCGCTTATCAACCACCGAGTAATCTTTTAGCTTGTTTTTCATTTGAACAGGTAGTCTGACTCCTCCAACCAATACAACCAGTCAGATTTGGGAGCGGTGTTTTTTTAATTTCAGACGTAGCTGGATTCTTGACAATACCACTACAGCTATGGACAAGTGATCTTGTGATGCGGATGAAACTCGGGCAGAAAATCTGAACTCTAGAATGATTTACATCCATTGACTCGAGAGCTTAATTTCAATATCAAATAGTTGAATTTTTTTATCGGATGCATGTAGATGTTTGAGTAAAAGGTGTACCTCACTTTGTGAGTATTTGCTCTATTCGCTAATGAATGACTGATCTATCTATCGCTCTTCATCGTACCGGGCAAGTTTGTCAGCGCGAATCCTCTTCCGTCTGTAATTTTTACTGATCTGACCCTCTTTCGATACTAGCCTTATCGCTTGAACGAGAAATAGCGAGCAGAGCCTATGGAAGTAATAGAATTTCCGCATTAGACGTGATAATGCGTGTAAATTACACCGGCGAGGTGCATAAGACGAGGTATATTACATGTGCGTGTATAAACTAATGGCACACATTTCGTCCTGCAGAACTGTCATAGCTTGTTACTACTCTTGCTCAGCTGAAACTCTACTTGATACTACGACACCGCTTCGATTACATCAGGTCACAGGCAACAAATCTGGAGGGATATTGCTCATTTCAACCCCAGGTCATGACTAATGCTGCTGATACTGCTACTAATTAATACGAATCGAATAAACTATTAGCGGCTAGGTTATCGTGATCATCGTTGGTATGGAACGGGCACGTCATGACAGCTTGGACACGCCAGATAAGCAGTCAGAGTAGGTCATGATTGTATTCATCAAAAATATACGCACACACGCAGGCAGGCATAGGCACACGGTTGTGGCACCTTCGATGTTGTTCTCCTAGGAGTACGGGATTCGGATGACGGCCAGGAATGACGTTGGTTATCATTTTCGTCCTATTGCAGCTTTTCGTGCTTTATTGAGACTCGCTCTTTATCCGTGCCTTCGTGTGCGCCTTCGCATATGACCGTAACGATAAAAATGCATACGAAAGATCATGTCGCGGTCTGGCACAGGCTGAGGCGAGCCAGTGATTATGATGGATAAACTGATCGGGAGAGAAGGGCGTAACGAAGTGCGTCGGTCCTACGTTGCGTTGGCAAAGGTTTGGAAATGGAGTCAGGGCCCAGATAAGGACATATACATACACTTAAACACACATACGTACAATCGCAGACGCAGGCTCACATGGGCTCCACAAGGCGCGCAGAGGGGGCCAAGCGACTATCGACTTCCGCAAGCAGAGACGTATGTTGCGGCTGTTGTCGTCGGCGTCATCACGCGCTTCCACCGGAGACAATTCAATATGAACCACACTGTGTAATGCACACCACCGCTCCCGTGTGCCCCTCAGGTGGTCCGAGGTCCTGACCTCACCGGTTATCCCGCCACACCAGCAATATCTGTTCAACTCCGCCTTGTCGTATATCCCATAGCGGAACCCTTTCTCCCCTATTCAGGTAATTACGCGTCCGCCTTTTCGGCTCTTGCCTCTACACCGGGACAGCGAACCGCATTCGGCCTACGACAAAGATACATGAGCCCCGGGCAAGAGTAATCGCGAGCGATCGACTGAAATAAACTATGTCAATAAACGAGTAGCAAAACGGTGCCGATGTGCATATCTAAAAAAAAATCCGTAAACTGCAACAGTATAATTGGCGTTACTTTTTCCTTATCGTGGTACTTGTAGGTTATTTTTTATGAGGTTAATTTATAAAAAAGACAGCTGCAAGCGCTTACTTAGATCAGCACGTGTGTGTGCGTATTCTACGATTATTCTGTTAAACGCACGTCATACAATCCTTGTCACCAACTGCATTTTTATTTTCGATGGCATACAATGGTCATAACGGTAACAGTATCAACCTAATTGGAAAATAGAAGGATCGACATGAAGTCTAATTGCTCTAGTAGGACGGAACGAAATGCGAAGGTCGTGATAAGACTTAAACAAATCAACATTTTTCTCACAGGCTACTTCCTTTTGATTCAAAAGAAAAGAACAACGAACAATTCACCGAAATAAATGATATCTACAAGGCATAGATGACAGTGATGCGTTCAGATATTATCTTCTATTGTTGTTATAAAACATGCGCAGCGTAGTGGTCCAGCTGTTTCACTTCGAGATAAGGTTTGGTCGACTATGCATAGAAATTGTGCATTAATATATATACGTGATAATGATAATGAGCAGGGAGTCCAATACTGAATTCAGTCTCTTATCAAGCGTAGTAGTAGTAGTAGTAGTAGTATCCGTTTTATTCGGCCATAATCAGTCTAAGGTTAAAACAAAAAAAAAAAAAGAAAAAGGAAAAATATAGTAGGTCAACACTGACAGCGTCTAGACGTCAGCGTATAGAAACAATCGTCGGTTTGCAGTCATTGTGATAAAAGCCTTAAAAATTCTCAAAATCTGCGTACACGTATTTTAATTTACTTAATTTAGGCTGTACAAGAAGAGTATTATTTAGCCTTTGCAGAGCTCATTAGAGGAAATTTAACTACATGGCAATAGGAAATGCATACAGAAAGATCTGTTATTTTTTGCAATTGCCGAAATGACTCTTGACTAACCCTGTCCCAATGACAAGCTTGTCATAACTTATCATTGAGACAACGCTCATACCGTTCCTTTTCTGCAGTTATGTTCTCTCTAAATATGTAATAAATAAATTGATCACAGCAGGAATCACCAGTTCATTATGATTTTCGCTGTACTAATACAAAGTGTGACTATTTCTGTTAAATCAAACATACGCTAATGCCAAAATCTGGGCTCTGTTGGGTATGGAATGTATTGTTTATCAAGCAGTTTACTCGTTTATGCGATACTACTTTAGAATAATCAGCTTGACGAGGACCGGGCGGACTAAATACATCTTGTTACAGCGCGTAGTATCTTTCTGAACCGATTAAATTTCCCCTAAGCGAAATTGCATAAAACAGTACGCATTTTCGGACACATCTCTGTAGCGAAAAAGTAGAAAGCATATCTATTAAGAACGGTAATTCTTACGGGTAACCTTTCGCTCTCCCCATCCGTTGTCCCTCTCTCAAATAAAGCTCTGCTCTGTAGGGCCGTATTCTGCTACGATGGGAGCCTGTTTGCCCACCGCGTTTGAATGTGCCGCCGCAAGCGAGGCACTACTCTGGTATACCGAACCGCTTCTACAACTGATCTGTTCTCGCCGACAACGATACTTCGAAGTTCCTGGTGAGTTTCGGACACCCGCCCTTTACCCTTATGTGTTGTGCAGGCGCCCTCTAGTGCTGTTTTCAGTAGCCCGCTCGCGGAACGATCGAGTCAACAAGAAAGGCGGTCGGCTGGTTGTAACGAGAAGGTGTCGCACGTCAGACAGTTACTCAGATCAACGACCCGCCGGTACGCGAACTGCTTGTAACTCACACAGTCAGAACAGGTCGGCAGCCGTTGTCACTAACGTTTAGGTGTTTAGGTTCCGACATGTGGCACGCACGTTGATGTCAATGAGCTGTTAGTTTTACCTAATTTTTTGGACGAATTACTGATTGTTTACTCCGGACCAGTCTGACGTTATTGCCATGTCCTTTTAGGTCTGTAGTTTCATGTGTGTTGATCATACACACAATATAACGGGGGCGTCACTATGCATATCTAGTATGAGGCTTGGACTTCATCTGCCAATATCTAGTCTAATTCTATTAAAACGGTTGGACCAACGGGTAGTTTTAATTTGGACGATTAAGAAGAGCACTGGCACGGTGTTTAGTGGAAGAGCATTTTCCACTATAGCCATACGAAGGTCGCAAGCATCATTTCTCACCAGCTACACAATCAGCTGCGGGTGATCCTCCCTCTGTGCAATTTTAGTATACCAATTGACTAAAGCGGCACAAAATCATGGATAGAATTATTCATCGAGATGTATGAGCTCGATCGTAACGAGAGCAAACATTAGAGGAAGCTATGCATTTATGTAAAAAACCAGGGGTGCAAACCTAATTGTTGTTGTTACTTAATTAATTATGTCGTTAATTAATGGACACTTCTGATGAATGATTACTTCTGGTTCATACGTGACGAGAGGTCGGTAGTGGCCACAATTATAAGAAAAGAAAATCTTGATTAATCGGTTCATACTAAATGTAAGTAGATTTTTTGTCCTTAGAGGATATTTTGACATGAATGATTAGAAAAATGAAGCATATAGTTCCACGCAAGCTGCCTGCACTCATTTCACTTAGCTTCTTTGAACAGCACACGAAGAGATTATCTGACAGTAACCTAATATTTCTGTTATTGAAAACCTTCGTTTAGTCTACAGACATCATCCTCAAGTTCTCCTAATTGATGGATATTGGATGTATCTTTTATTAATAATAGTAGTGTGGCATCATAGCGAACGTTCTCTAGCTGCACTTTTGGCCTAGTGTACGTCCTAAATGATTTATTATCATTAGCCTAATTATTCTAATTAGACAGGCAAAAAGTAATCTACCTAATCCACTGATTAGGATCGCATTGAGGGTGAGCATATTCGTTATCGAGGCCGTAAAGCGAAAACACACCGCACGTATAATGCCTTCTGTGACTGGCGATACGTTGCTTTGCTCAGGTTTCTGGCTTAGTGTCCAGCATGGCGGTTAGGGTGAACTGAGTGTTCGAGAGGAAACTACTGCTCCTCAGAACTTGCCATCTCAGAACCACAGGTATCCAGTAGACCCAGCCTCAGCTAACGGAAGTTACGATTTTTTCTGTCTGTCAAAATCCCTATCACGCGTGGAAACCGTAGTGTCGAATTGAGACATTAAGCAGTATTTTAAGTTTAAGAGTTCGCAACCCATACTTAGTTGTGTTCTTCATTCAAAGCGGTAATCTATTTCATCATTTTACGTTTAGTTTTTCGCGCTTACACGTGTCTAGCTTTAAATCCTGGCTTTTCCATAGGATTTGAGCTAACATGACATGAGCTTACTTATATGTTCGATTGGTTACGTACGAATTGCCTTTGCCTTTCTATTAACTCGAATATAGCTATATTATGCGATGGGATATATTATCCATGTCCACGCGCTACCAGTCAATGTTATTATCCAGACTATAGTTGCTTGTTTCCAACGAGCCAGCGTTCTACCGTTTGCGAGCAATCCAGGCTAGCAGTGTAGTTATATGGTGTAACTGAACTTTTGCAACTTTAAAATTTGGTAACGAATAGTCTCTCACAAGATATAACAATTGCTTTGTTATGTGTTTGTGAACGATTGGTGCTCGACGTTCGATAGCATGCTTTAGGAAAAATAACAGCTGAATAAAAATTAATGTACAGTTATTGATGTCGTGCTGTTTTGGACTGTTGAATCGCTTGAAATAAGTACTTGATTGGCTGGCTGATCTGACGACATGGAGGTGTTCAGAAAGATTCCGGGAGTAGAGAACGGTTCGTTAAGTCTCAAAGCGTTCACGGATTTTATTCGAAATACGTTCCCTGGATGCGATGCCGATCCACACTTCGAGAAGAAGGTATTGATGATTTTCAAAAGGTTCTCGATGTCCGATCCAGACGTGATGGTTCAGACCGACTTCACAAAACTGTATGACTACTTTCTGCGTCGGTGCATGCATCCGAAGTGTGCCCTGATTATCGTGGACTTCCAAAACGATTTTGTCGATGGCTCATTATCTTTGAAGAGGTGTCCCCGAGGCGAAAATCCTGAGGTCCTGATCCCCGGCCTTAACAAGATGGTGGACCTTTTTGACGTCGTTGTGTACACATACGATTGGCATCCAGAAAACCATATATCTTTCTTGGAATGCTTCAAAAAAAGAAAGCTTCATAGCACATGCACTGAAAAAGCAAGCGATGTAACCCCTGGCACGATGCTGGTGTTCGACGTCGATGGACGGCCGGTCAAACAACAAATGTGGCCTCGCCATTGCATTCAAAACACAAAAGGAGCAGAGCTACATAAGGGCCTGAAAGTGAAACCGGACTCGATAATCATCCATAAAGGTTCGTAAGATATGTAGAACGAATTGGCATCAGTGTATAACTACAGAGATAAAAATATCGGATAAATTCTCCAGACAATATTGCAGTATTCTGGGTTTGTCAATTACAACCAACAGAGAAGCGATCTGCAGTATTAGCTAGAAGAATTTAGTAATGTACGTTGGCAAAATTCCTTTAATATAATCAACAAAATCATTTGAAATGATTGATGAGCTCGGCAGATGCCGATGTTTTCCGCTGCCATATAGGTTAAAGATGGTAGGTAGCTTGAAAGTGATTAAGAGCTTTTCACATCGAATTTGCAACAAAATGCCGATATCGGCTTTCTGCCTCAAGCCCTAAATGCCTTTCTCTATGAACCCACAGAAGCTAGGTCGAATAATCGATGGCTAAGATGTCTTCGGATTTCCAAAACGTTTTCCTGATATCTTGGCTAGACGCATGTATGCGGTAGAAATTAAGAATCTATACGTTTTTATCATATAAGTAGTTAATCAAATGGAGGGGAACGAGAACGATGCTTAATTCGGTATCTTTGTTTCACTAATTTATTAGGTGAAGAGGTCGATGTGGATTCATATTCGGCATTTTGGGATAATTTACGAATTTCAAAAACGAGTCTCGTGGTCGACTTGCGCAGCAAACAGGTAAACCACGTGTACATCGCCGGTATTGCATACGACGCCTGTGTATTATGGACGGCAATGGACGCAATGTCGGAAGGGTAGGTCCACACTAGCAATAATCGTCTGCTGGCATTGTAAACAATGCTTCGAATGAAAACACCATGGGGATAAATGTTCAATTTCGAAAAATTGACTGGCCCGTCGGGTCAAAGTAAGCAAACGGCATCAAGCTAAACTGTTTTGCTATTTTGCATTGATAGCGCTTTCCAGTATGCTTCTAATATTAGCCAAAACTCGGCTTCAATATCCGTAGATACATTATTAGGGAGACGCACATTTTTACCTTTGTGAATTATCACTTCTTAGAAATGGGATTATGCTTTTTGTTTTACTAGGTCGTTTAGCATTAAGCGTGACGTATTTACAGATGACGCCTTCTTGTAGCGCTGCGACATTGTTCTCTTCTGAAACGCAGTTGCTCTTTCGAATACTGCGACTCGGACCTTTAACGAGCCAGTTGTAGTAGGCCACCAAAGATCAGAAATGTTACATGATTTCTTCTCTTTGCTCTCACGTTATCGCATATACCTATCCGTATCGTATACCTATTATGATTCATGATAAATAAACCGATCCATTACAGTAATTGCAGACGTTCAGATCGATAGGTAATTGGAACAGGACATCAAGCTAAAACGTACAGCTGCGTGATTATGGTGCCTGTTTGGGGTTTTACTAGGCTATTATTCGCTATAGACTTTCTTACTTTTGATTACACTGGTAAAATTTAATTCGTCCTATATCTTTAGCCATAATTGCAAGGTATCATGGATAATATGATTACAGGATATCTGGGTCATAAGAGAAAATGACAATCTTATTTATTTCTATTTTTCCAGCGATAATTTAATGATAGTAGAAATAGTTGTCCAAACGTACGTTTACGTTGTGTTATTGATATTTTATAATAGTTTGATTCTCATCACATACTGAAATCTGGCTTTGACCAGTTATTAGTGGTTTTTTAGAGGAAGTTCCGCAAGCAGCCTCGTGTATTGCATAACACGCTCAACTTCAAGAATGATGGCAAAAGTGCGAGAGTTACAGTTTCAAGAAACTTTCTATCATTCATCATATCCGCCATTGCCTCTTTCGTCTCGTACCTTGATGAGTTTTAATAAGATATTAAATCTCAACATGATGTAGCGCGTCGACCTTTCAGGCTTCGTAGGCCCTAATATTGCAGATGACAAAAGATAGCAGTGATGCATATTTCGAGTCAACTAACTAAGGCCTGTGACGTTCTATATAACGTTGTTACATTATTATTATACATTAATAAAAGGTAATAGAATATATCTGGATATATCTACATATATAGAATAGGACATTTGGATAAATCTGTGAAACACGTACATTTTTAGGTTTATGACTACCCTTATTCGCGACTTAACGTGTTCCATTGCAAACGAAACGACTGCCGAGGCTGACGCCCGTCTAAAAAAGGCTAACTGCCCACTAATCTGTGAGTATTTGATCACAATATGCGGACTTAACATAAGTAAAAAAATCTTGAACAGTCGGTGTAATCGATCTGGCGATGGTCGTGTAAGTTGACAGGTAGCAATGATAGGTTGCTACTTTTTACAATGGAGTTTCATTTGAATCGATATTTAAATAAAGTTTAAAAATGCTTTATTGTATATATATTTTATGTGAACCATAAGATTTTCTATATCTAGAACCATTGGCGACACATATGGTTAGGCCGGCTACGATAGTTCCGGAATTAGTTGTTTATCAAACAACAACAACGTGAATTCTTTTTTGCGTCTTTAACTATTCACGAATACGATAGACGCCCATGTCCCGTAAACGAGACGTAATACACACCAGAAGCTTTTAGATATGACCAGAGCGAAAGACGCGTAAGTTGTGTAAACTTAGCGAGAATGTTCGTTTCAGCCATCTTTTTTTCCCATTTTCATCTGGAAATGAACGTCTTGAGACTGAAGAACGAGAGGCAGACGGGAACGAGAATCTAAAATTAGGTGCTCCGGCGTCACCTGCAGCTGCTCTATCGATGCGTCCTATAGCCACGTGACTTTTCCATTGCTTCGTAACAGCTTTCTAGTGTGAGAACGTTCAATGGTGACAAAGGCGTTTGTAGCTTTCGAAATGTGGGAAGCGCTCTTTTCACCTCAGAACGCTTACGGGTGTTTTCTGTAGGAATTCAAAACATAATATATTTTAGTTTTTTTTTTTTTGGAAAACGCGTCCGGCATCAGTCGACATATTAAGCGATGTAAACAGCGATAGACCAATCAGATGGCACTTAGATCGGAGAATTCCATCCTGCATTAATGCCTATATAAGATAATAATGTTATTTGATTTGCAGTCAGTCACGATATCACGAAGGAATCGCTCAATGGTCCTGTATCATGGGAAATTGTTTGGCAGCTGGCCGCAAAAGAAATCTGATATTGTTTATCAATAGGATGATCTCGCAAGATTGTTTCGTGCGCCAAGACCATGGTTGACCTAGACATCTCTAAGTGGATTTTATCTTCAGCTATAACAGCTCTGTAGGATTGGCTGGTACGAAGCCGTACCATTCATTTGTAAGCACAGGTTTCGTGTCAGCGAGCGACATCTCGACTACTTAAAAGCTGCTATTAACACATTGTTAGTTGAGCCCACGGAACAAATAAATGGAAAACAATATTTGAACAAATATCCGCTGACCGTTGACGTCAATCCAATGAAATTTCTGAATGTGTTCGTGAAGACCTGACTCGCGTGATATCAGGAAAGACTTCATTCATTCCAGTATTCCGATTATCAGAAGGTTGTTAACTCAGATATACTAGGTCAGACACAACAAGTACTAAGTCCACTAAGGGGAGCAAATCCGATATGATACTCGCACAAATGATACAAATGGATTACTAAAAGTGAGATAAGATACCTACTGTCTGCGTATATTATATACACATATCTATACTTTAGTGAAGATTAAAGTGGTGAATAAGTGTTGTAATAGACAAATATGATCGAATAAATGAAAGGTTTAAGTGCTAAGGAACGTTTCTTCTTGCACTCGGTAGGTTTGAGTTCAGAAATGAAGGACGGATGATAAGTTGGGTGATAAATTAGATAATATTGCTATCGCCGTCCCTTGCGTGCATCTAGATAGTTACCACTCCTACGATGTACGAATCGTGAATTCAACATTCGCTTAATATATTTATCTCGTCCACGTTTTAGGGACTTGCCGTTGCGGTTCAATCGGTAGAGACTGGAGCCGCTCGCCTAATCGTGAATAGCTCCGTTTGTGCGACGTAGTATCATAGGTATCATCGAGCATATCAATATCCATGTTGGTCAAACATAGCCGGAACGTAAACCAAATCCCAAACTGACATCGCTCGAACACACGATACGAAAGATCGAGCAGCCGGTTTTCTTTAGAGAAGTTTGCATTCCGGTTAATCTGCTTCTTCGTTGCCAACAACAGATCAAAAACAACAAACGTAGTTCATTTACAACACACGGTAACATGTTTTTATTTGTTGATGCTTCATTTATATCACGCGACTATATACAACCCTTTCTACCAGTAGTAGTACTAACCTACAGACTCTTCAGTCGCTTCTTCTTTCCTCCTCTAACCATCCTGCTTCTAAGTTTTAGCTCCTCAGAAGGATACCTCGTGATGCTTCTGAAGTGCTTCGCGGTGTCGCGAATTGCAAGAAATGTACACAACTATTTACATACTGTTTTGTTGTTGTTGTTATTATTATTGTTCGCTGTTTCCTTATCATTTTCTTTTGTCTTCTTTGTCTCTCCTGCTCTGTTTTTTTGTTATATTTTTCCCATTGAAGAACATCATCAGAAACAAGCAAACACAACTGACAAGTAACGAACCCATGACGAAAAGCGTCTTATTATCGCATATTAGAACCACCATGAAGGATCAACTTCGATGCTACGATGGTCCGTCGAATGAGGATACCCTTATCGACGAGCAACGTTCCACAAGCTGTTACATCGAGGCAGGTTGACTGATGCAATCTATTTTCTGTTCAATGAAGAAAACTCAGTCTTCGGATTTGTTTCACAGGGTTCGTAAGACATGTCTGTCCAGTGGACAACAAAAACAAAGGTACACTGGCTTCTGCAGTGGCAAGTCGGCACTATCGCGAGATTTCTCGTAGTTTCGGTAAAGGTGCGATCTGATGGAACTAGCTCGGACGCTATGCCAGCAGCAAATCATTGTCTGCAACACATTGCTGCTGGGGTTCAGGAAGCTTCGCGGACCTTTTACGTTTGGCGCACGTAACGATAAGCTAGGCCCTCTTGACTAGATATAAGTTTGGGTGCTCGAGACAGAAGGTTTTGTCTGAACGCATGTTGGGACTCAAATGATGTTCCGTCGCTGGGATCCATTAATTAGTTGGTGGATTGGATGATTGATGGGCACATAAGTAAGTTTGCACGGATGGAGCAACAGATTTTCCGCGTAGCAGAAGAAGCCCGAAAGAATTGTGAGCTCCGTTTTAGACTGCGCCATGATCATAAATAACGCTTCCTATCGTTCTACGATGATTTGATATTGAATTCAGTCATTTTGTTTCATGCTCAAAGTTGCTTCTCTCTATCTGTTCTTTCAACGGTGCTTCTGCACTTTCCGCGCGCTCCGGCCATCTCAAGTCCGCCTATGACCACCAGCGGGCGTCTGGAGGCGGCAAGCCGGCTGGATAATGGGCAGCTGCGTTTAAATAGGCGCCCATGTCGACGCCCTCGGGACAGCGTTGGCCGTCTCGAACCAGAACCGGAACCGCTACCCGTCTTGGTGACGGAAGAGGATTGCTACCTTGAGACGAAGATGGCGAACTCATCATGGCTGCGCCCATGCCGCCTATACCGACAGCACCAGCGGACGCCTCATATCCACCTTCCTGGCGGGCCCGACGGGTCTTGTACCTGGAACCATCCAAAAACAGATTTTCATAGTTAGCTTCTGAATGCTTAGTGCAGATGATCCACACAATGGTTACCTCGGTAACGAAAGAGAAGAGCTTCCCTAGCTGTACGTGCGTAGTATGTGGATAGGAACTCGGCGGGCGGTTTTTAGTTGAGCAGACAAAGCATTTACGATATCGTACAAAGAGAAAAAGAATGAGCATAGGCATGACAAAGAGATTATGCTATATGCTCAATACTGTTCGACATGTTTTGTGCTCTCTTACACAGTGTCAAGGTCGGGACTGCGCTGCGATTGAGCATTCCCAACATAAGCGAGAAGCAGGGTGTACATATCGCCTTATCTCTGGCTGTATCGAAAGAGTGGAGTCAATGTTCGCCTCATTGTTTCTTAGAGTACACTTGAGTGCGCGTGTACACCAAAGTTTGTCATAGATGTTCCCTATGTCGCCTTTTCGCCTTCATTATGTCTTTCTCTCGGTGCTCCGCTCTCATTACTGCCGTTGCCGCCACTGTTCAGTCCGTGTGCGTCAACCAAGCCGAAGTCCTCTTCCCGATACCAATTCAGGTCGGGTCGAACCAAAAGCGATGCCACTTCTCAAAATGGCAAGGCCAACAGCAGCGGTAGTAGTAGTAGCAGCAGGGGTAACGGTAACTTCACCTTTAGCATTGGCTTCGGCAGCGGTGATATTGGCTGCGACCACAAGAACCACATACGTACTCGATGCGTTTATACATGTATTTTGTCCAGACGCATGCGTATATGCGCACGCGTGTGTGTGTGGCTTCATCGTCGTTCGCTTCCTTCCTTCCCTGAGAAGACATACTTGCCACATCTTGCCAGGATCAGTGTCAGCTATTGCGACTACATATCATCACTATCGATGTTACTCTGCCCTGCTATCAGATTGCTGTCGCACGTGTCAGCGATGTCGGTGGGCCGCCGCCCGCCTGCGCGATTGTTTCTTCAGCAGCAGCATTAAGCGACAGGATGGAGAGGATGGGAGAAGACGAGGAGAACAAACGGGAGGACCAAACCGCTTCCTCAGGACAGTGTAAAAGGAAACAGGAGACGCAACGAGAAACAAGCATTCAGCAGCAATAGCTACTGCTATCTACCTCCTGAACGAAAAGCAAGAGATTCCGGGAGTACGAAAACTACGTACAGCCTTTGTGTGCGCGTGTGTGTGTTTTTCTCTGTACGAGTCGCCGCACAAGAAGACCGCAGGCTGGCTCTTACTAACCGCGCAAGCCAACGCTTACCAGGAGAACAGTAATACAAGTGAGCCACCGCGGCGTGTGTCTCTCTCTCCGAGCGTCGTAAAGAAGTTTTTACGCTTATAGAGACCAACCGAGCGAGCCACACACACACCAATGTCCATACACATCCTGTACTGCTACTCTGTCCGTATCTATCACAATATCGCTAGATGTACTTTGTTTGAATGCAGAGTTTTGAGAGGTGTGAGTAAAAGGTAACTGAATGTGCAGTCGCATCTAGCTAAGGTGCGTGTCACTGATTGATGTTTACGAGATAAGAGGTGGCAGACGATGTAACCGCAATGGCACAAGCCGGCAGCCGTCGCAGGAGACGGGTTAATAGCATTGAGGAGCTACAGGACTCGAAAAATCTAATAGATAGGGTCCTGTCGGTATGGGAACGGCTTGAAGTAATAGAGACATTCATGAAGCGCGTATACATCTGTAAGTGTGTGTACAAGCGGGGCAAGAAATATTGCAACAACCACAGGACAGGCTTGAAGAGGCCAAGTTACTCCAGTGTCTTTGTATAATAATAAGTACACGCAAACGAACCACTTACGAAGACAACTCTGACGATTTTAAATATTCCCTTAGTAAAATCTATGAGTAAAATTTGTAGCAGTTCTGGTTCAGATCATTTGCTTGACCAGGCTTGCGGGGTATATAATCGGTTGCCGTTTCTCCTGATCTTCCGCGTCGTTTACCGAAGAACAGTTAAGACCGATCTAAAGAGACGAAGAGATGGGTTGGTGGCGACGGTGACCGCGGCTTGGAGATGACGTTGAAGTAGGTGGTCTTGGTAGCGCAGACCAACAATTACTGCTTCGTCTTTTTTGCACGACATGGATACGGCAAGATCCTTGTCGGATCTAAGCTTGATCAGGGCCGCCGGGTAGTTACGGCCGAGCAGTTCTTTTGAGCAGACGACTTTGGTCGGTCTGCTATCTTTATCTATTCACATCGTCTGCAACGGGCCAAACGTTTCAGCTCGCTGAGGGGTTGCGACACGAAGAGCTATACCCCGTATAGTACAGCGTAGGGGCGGGGTACTGGTGAAACGTGTAGCACCAATGGGTTTGGAGGGTAGTGTTGGAACCAGTCTCGCAGGGTGGCCATGACTGGGCCGAGCGGCCAACAGACTTGCTGGCCGCTTCCGCAGCCATTTCCGGTCGGCTGACTGCCTGTCGTCCTTACTTTCGCTTTCGCCTGCTGAGTGAAGACCTTCCACTGGCCGTCACCAGCACTAGATGGCTGGATAGCTCCAAGTGAATTTCAAATCTTTGCCACATCCAGATCGCCCGTACGACCTCTGTCCATCTCTAACAGAAACTCTCAATAGGTAGAGCTACTCCCACTTAGAGTAGTGTCAGCCTACTCTAGTGCTTTCGCATAGAACGCTATAGTTCAGGCTTTAAGCAATGCTAACAATAGAGAAAGTGGTACCTGCCGAAAAATGTTTTTGTTAGAGTTGCCGCATTGTATGATCACAATATGCTATGCTTTTCCATAATGTTGATAAGCACCACTGATAAGCATAATGTTTGCGAATGAGCTCTATATATATATATATATTTCTACTGCGTGCCAAAATCGGTGCTCGTGCAGTCGTCGATTTATGGATATGATCTAAGTATATATTTTGTAAAGCGTACGAATGTGTTTTGTTGAAACTGTCGACGGATAGGCGGGCCGAGTGATATCAGCATGGAATCTTGTAGGTCGTTTCTCCTCATAAAATTGGCCTCCGCTTTGAAGAACCCGTCTCATAATTCTTAATAAGCAAAGCTTCCTATCTTTACTTAAAACCCGACCGCGTACATCCCTTTCTCGGTGGTCGCTCCTCATAAAGCTCCCCAACTTTACGTCGGTAAGCTAGATAGCTGGTTGGAATGCGATTGAGCGATGAGCACCGCGCGAACCAACAAGCCCACGGACGGAGGGCTGGCTTCATTCTAATCGCAGCGCCCCGTTAGGAGGAACAATGATATCAGAACTAGATATATATCAGATCATCATTTCCTGGAGGCTCATTAGCAGGTTCCGGGCGCGAAGGCGGGGGCCAGAGTCATTGGACAGGGAACCTGGTCAGGTAGCCGTGATCCTGCGAACCGCTGCCGCCTCGGGTCTTGCCACCAGGGCAGCTCGTCGGGTTCAACGCGGGCAGACCGAAATTCTTTACTGGACAAATTACCGACCATTTTTCCCTATTTAGCTACATGAATTCAAACAGAGAAATTCACTATAGTGATTCTCTTTCCTACTCGTTTTGTTCTTAGCAGATCGCAACACTAAACGCCATTTATATTTTTATGTATACTTTTGCATTTATGTGTTTCCTAGAAGCCTTTGAGCAGAGTAAACTCGTTCCGAAAGCTCCCTATTATCATGATGGTAACCCTTTATACTGAGCACCGCTGTAGTGTAGTATAATGGTTTAAGGAAATGAGTTTTACATTAAACACAGTTAGAGATCTTACCGATGGTTCTGAAACCATATCTTGACTTGCGTCGGGGTGAGCCTGATCATCGAAGCGAGGTGTTCTCGTTCGGGCGCGGAGAGGTAGCGTTGCTGTTTGAAACGCCGCTCTAACTCATACGTCTGAGCCTTGGAGAAGAGCACGCGTCGCTTGCGCTTCTTCTGCGCGCCACTCTGAGAATATGCCAAAAGGACAACAATAACAACAATAGCAAAAACAAAATACACACAGAAATATTAGCATCTAGCTCTGTTCTCTTATTTAACACCACTATTCAATAACTTGCCATTTTGAGGCAGATGAAAGGTAAATCAAGAGTACACACATTTCACTAGATAAAGTAGATGACACTTTAGCTACAAAAATACTACAAACTCAATCGTTTGTTCTCGATTATTAAAACCAAGATACGGGTATTCAATCGATTTAGGGAAAATTGCGTATCTCAAAATTCTGTTTGTTTAGGTACCGGCATCTGGTGATCGAAATTCAGTCCGAATTTATTATTGGGGTCGTTGTTAGCAGATGAGTGGTCGCTCTCCTCATCGTTCGAATCGTTATCTTCTACCTCGATCAATTTGTCGTCACCTTGTTCTTCCGACGTAGGCGAACTTCTGGGGCAAAGGAGGTAAGATTAGTCTACTGAACGTGTGGGTGTATTTAACATCGAAAAAATGAAAGGATAAACTGAAATTGAGTACAAGATTAATAATTTTTCAGGTAGGATATGCAGTCTACCTTCTCTCGTTGAGTGCGCCCATCATAAAGTGTTTGTCTACCTCAAAAGGACCTGCCCGGAATCGACCAAAGGGGATATCTGTAATTATTCAGAAAGAAATATGGCGTCAAGTTGGTATGTAAAATGCTGCTCTAAAGTAGCGAACCGAGGGAATAAACTATCTCTATAATATGCATGCGTTGATAGCACCGTGATACTGCATTAGAAATGTACGTGCGCTAAGCAATGTAACAGCTTTGTTTGTGCGTTACTGTAACGGATCTGTTCTTTCATATACAAATACTACCTTTTTACTAGCATCATAGCTGTTGACAAGCGTAAATGAACAATTCCTTATTTGCCTAAGTACAATTACTGGCAACTAAAGTTCTCACAACATCCAATCTTTTCCCGAATCCGCTGGCTTCTTCCAGAGTCAGGGAAAAGCGAGGAAAGGCGTTGCCTACCGTATAACATTCCCCAGTGGTTGTAAATGTGGCATACAGGTTTGTATAACCCGCCCATAATAGCATGCGTCGCGCCTATTCATCCCGAAGCCCCCTCAGCTGGCTGTCTGTTCAAATCCCCATTTTGAAGATCTGCGCGGCCATTGAGCACGTGTATGTATGTGATCATGGATACGGGTGCAGACGCGCCCTACACTTTTTAACGCCTTTGCCTTGCGCTGTTCTAGGCGTGCCATTCTCCTTCTCTCTCCTATTGTCTGTATGTATATGACAATTCGCGCTTATCGTACCCGAAGCCGATGGTTGCTCTGCAAAAAGGTGCAGCTCAAGAGCGTCAGGCGCAAAGTCAACGTTGCATGTCTATGATACGACTTCTTTCGCCTACAAAGACGATGTTCCTCGTTGTCATCAACTCTGAAGGAGGAGAAGACGACGAAGCAAGCCATCGTTCGCTCGCTTACAGCCGACGACGACCTTCTGGACCACTGTTGATACTGGTCAGGTGTGCGGTTCATTCTTTTGGCTCGTTTTTCAGGTGTTGACTTCAGCCAATTTGTCAATTTCGATGCGTTTTGTGCAGCCGCGGCTACACCGGTGCGACACGTAGGGTTGAAGGGGCTACGCACACCGGCGGGGCGGGGCGAGGGCGGGGGGTGAAGGTGAACGCCAGCGTTGAGGCTAGCAGTCGGGGGTGCGAGGCAGGTCAGCGGTATAGTTTCGAAGCCCTCAACGAGCGAAAGCATGCGTTCTAGTCGCCGAATTCCTTCTTGCTTTGTCCTCCACCCACCCTCTCGTTAGGATGCACCTCACAATGTCTGGTGACTACGCCGAGGTCGTCAACTGCCTCGGCAGTATCCTTTGAGCAACTGTGACATTCGAACGGATAGAATTTCTACCGGGCATCGATGGGCTCGTCACTTATTTTTCCTCCTTATTGTCATCAGAGTTGGTCATTCTGCCCCACGACACCCTTCCCCCAATCTCTCCGACAAGACTCGATGTACGAAGCCGCTAGTTTCTTCCTCGAAAACCGTCTTGCAATGTCTGGCCACTGGATCAATCTTACAGAAGCGAAACCCCGACACCAGGATCTCTACACCTGACACGTCGACATTATTCAAGCCTATTGCAGTTCTACTATTCAATCGCAAACATAAGATGAGCATACGCCGATGCCTATGGAAGTCATTTTATCTTTTTAGATGAATTCAATTGTAAGAAATATAAAAATGATTATAAAATAAATGCAGAACAAGAACCAACAGGCATCTTTTCACTTTATATGAATTAAAAGTACATCGAATAATCCGATACTTCCATTGTAGCTAACATTGTAGCTATAAAAGTTACTATCGAATGTATTAACTAGAATTATACTTAGCGTATATTTCTAGTTAATAAATCCTAGCTTATCACGAAGATCGACCCGCTTCACAGAGCTAAATCCGGTAACTAGCAGACGGACCGAGGAGTGCGTCCACGGTTGAGGTCGCCGACTCTTCAAGGTTGAAGTTTACTCAGGTGAGCACCTCATCACAGCGGATATCAGCAAACAGTGTGAGATCTTGCGTAGACGGTATGCGCATATAAGAACTCTCTTGATCTTTGTATTGATCTTCGCGAGCGATAGTTGTAAAGGATTTCAGTATACCCAAAAACCAAACCCAGTTGCAAGTCAACAGTTGATAATTCGGGAACGTCAAGTGCTTGTTGTAACGAAATGGACCTTTGAAAGCATGCGGAACAATCTCTAAGTGGTAAAGCGGAATATACTCTTCGTTTACTCGTTACCGACCGGCGTTACTGGGAACCATCATAAATAGCTCAACATCTGATTGGGTCAAAGATGAAACTCAACTATTGTTTGCATGCACAGTGCATATGTCACAGGCACCCCTATGTCTTTTCAGGCCCTTTTGCCAAGCTTTGTGCGTACGTGTATAATTCCGTAAATGTAAATAATCCCTGCTGTATAGCAGAGCTGTCATTTCAGATGCTGGCTGACTAATCCGTATGTAAATGACGCGATGTCCAGCATTAGTATCTTCCAAGACAGTAATGTTTTGCTTCATTGCCCCATTTCTTCCTTCGGCAGAAGCTAGTGGAATGAGTGTGGGCAAAGGCGGCAAAACGAGCGGTCTATATCTCGGGGTGGTTTTCTCGTACGACGATGACGGTAACAACAATAACGACAGTTTTTTCTTTCTGTTGTTGTTTTGATTCGGCTTGGCCTTTCTCTTGCAGGTGCTGGCCAGCCATCGCTCGTCCCATACGGCCAATGCCCAACATTGGATGATTATTATATATGCCTACGTGATACCCCTTTGACCATGGCTAGTTTCGAAGGCAACCAGTGTGTTAGTGCTAAATACCCTAGTTTAGACCGGGTGGTCCTAGAATGGCTTGACATCCTGTTGTGCCTTCTGCGCATTGCCTATATGGTCTGCCTTTGTTCGCATCAGCGCTTCGACAACGGCCGATGTTGCAGGAGTTTATGTCGTGCGACAGCGGTGTGTTGGGGCGCGCTGCTGTTGTCATTGTCATATTCGTGTGTCCAGCGGGGCTTTATGACCATCTCCTCCACCGATCGCGGCCACTAGTCGCCGACCAGCACCGACGCTCTGCTGTACGCGCGAGATCAAGCGGACGGACGGGATGCTTATGTTCATGGCTGCGCTGCTCATGATGGCGCCGACTGCAGTTTGCCCGTTACACTTGCGTTAGCTGTGGCAGCTGTCGGCCATACCGCAGGTCCCTGTGTGCGCCTGTTTGTGTGTAATGTGTACATCTATGCAGCTCTGTGTCCACATAGTGTATGTTGAAGCCAGGGGGTAAAACGGACAGTATAGAAGCAGTAGCAACAGAGGCGGCCGTTGATGCCGCCGCGTCTGCTGTTGTAACAGTTCGCGTTCATTGCTTCGTGTTTCGTCCTTTCCTTTTGCTATGGGCTTCGCTGTTGTGGTTCACACTTTATGATGCCTTTAATTGCCTAGTGGCCGTCGTCGGCTAGGGCAGAGAATACGAAAGCAAGTTCTGTTCAGCCAAGGTGCCTTCCTCATACTATTACATACAGACATATATATATATATATATTCGTTTGGATGTGGTCATAGAAGTAATAGCGATGCTGATCGTAGCGGCTAGACCCGGCCGGTAGACTCCGCTACTAGACGTGTGGCTGCATATGTACAATATTATAATACTACGACGGCAAAAGAAACGTCGCGATTTACAGAGGGCAAGGTTTCTTGGCATATCATGTCGCTAGGGTGTATTGCGAAGAATGATATATACTAGTTTTGTATATCTAAGCAAAGCTACGGGGCGAACACGCTACGGGAATGTATCTGCTATCGCAGTCATGTTAGCATAGCGAGTACCCCGTAGAAGTATTCAGGAGACGGCGACACAAGTAGCTATGCAATAACGGCGTATTTCAAAAACATAACACCATACATTTATACTCTTTAGGTTTGAGCTCGCTGCCCAGTTACTGGTATCGTTAATCAAAAACATTACCAACGCTTAGCCAAACGAACTACCGCTGTGTTCGTCCGTAACAACTTGTGCGCATTTGAGATGGCCTTTAATAGGACCAGCGTTTTTTTTTTCAGATTCTACAACATACAATTATTTTTTTTACATACGTCTTCTATGCACACCATTACGACGCTGCATTATGAAGATCGGTCAACGAGTGCCGTTCTAACGAGTCACTGTGTAATGCGATAGTTCGGAACTATCAACATACGCATATGTTAATGTATGCCGTACAGTGTATGAAAGTGTTTAGGGTAGGCAAAGTACATGACATTCGTGCACAGATGTCGCCATCGTGCACAGAGGTCGTCGTAAGCCACCCAGCCAGTTGTCATAAGAGTAGTTGTATGTAAAACTAGTATTATACCTATGCTTGCAGGTAGATGTCCATTAGATACTCGTCTGTCACTTTAAAGCGGTCCCGCTACCGCGATGCGATGTCGACACATTACAAATCCCTTAATCTCTATGTACTTCAGACTCATCGGCGTGCTGACATAATGTACGTATGTATGCGCGGGTATGTGTGTCTTGTATGTCGCATCTGCAAGTAGGTTATGGCGCTACGACAACCTCTACGAAAACCGGGATTTGTAATCCTCTCGGTTGCGCTCTATCTCGTGTAGTTCTGGGCAGTGAGTGCTGCTGCTGCTGCTGCTGCTGCTGCTGCTGCTGCCAGAGGGGAGCACCAGATCGTCAGCGGTCGCTGCGACCGCAGCAGCAGGACTGGCAGAGGCGGCAGCAATATTCGGCCTCCTTCGTTCTTCGAAAACTTGAGATGACAACGGAACGAACCTACTCTGAGCCCGGAGTCGGGCACCGCTTCAAATCGTCATATGCCAGTCTATGAAAGCGGAGTATCACATAAAGCTGTAGCATTGGCGGCGCCGGCGGTGGCAGCAATAACACCACCGCGACTGACATAATGTGCAAATGTGTAATGGGCGTGATGGCAATGGTCGGCGAGGCTCTCGGCCCGCACGTACCCGCCGCAGGCAGACACACACACACACACAAATGCATGATTCTCTAGGTAGACACTGATATTTCGCACGCTAGAAGTATCCGAGCCCGTGAACACATTGCCAGAGG